AGTGATGTAGTCAGTCTCACCTCCATAATGGAACTTCCATAAAACATCACTAAACTATGGGGTCTGGAGAGCTTCCAGGTAAGTGAGCACATGGAGGTGCTGGGTGGGAGACACCAGGAGAGGGTGTGGATGCTGCATACCCTCCCCCACACCTGGCCCTTTGCATCTCCCATCCAGCTACTCCTGAGTTACATCCTTTGTAATAAACACGTAGTCTTGTTATTAAGCTGTTTTCCTGAATTCCATGAGCTGTTCTAGCAACTGATTGAATCCCAGGAGGGACTCGGATCTCCGATTTATTGGGGGTGGCAGAGGCAGTCTTGTGGACTGAGCCCTTAACCAGTGGGATCTTACACTATCTACAGAAATAGTGTCAGAATTGACTTAAATTTGTGGGACACCCAATTAGTATCTGCCAGGGACTTGGAGAATTGCTTGGTGTGAGGATGAACTGACACACATTTGGTGACCAGAAGTGTCAGAAGTGAAGTATGGAGCACAGTATAGTGTCGAGAGGCGTGTCTTTCTGAAACACACCCCACAAGGAAACCCCATACCCAGTAAGTGGTTACTCCTCCTTCCCCTCCCTCCAGCCCAAACAACTTCTAGTCTGCTTTCTGTCTCTGGATTTTCTTTTTATGGACATTTCACATAAATGGAATCAAAACATGTGGGCTTTTGTCTGGCTTCTTTCACTTAGCATGATATCCTTAAGATTAATCCATGTCATAGCATGTGACGGGATTTCCTTCCATTTTAAGGCTATAGATATGCACCACAATTTTTTTATCCATTCATCCATGGATGGACATTTGGGTTGCTTCCACCTCTTGGTTATTGTGGGTAATGTTGCAGTGAACATGGTGTGAAGATATCTCTTTTAGATTCTGATTCCAATTCTTTTGGAAAAATGCCCAGAAGTAGAATTGCTGGGTCGTATGATAGTTCTATTTTTAATTTTTTTAGGAACCTCCATACTGGTTTCCCCAGCAACTGCACCATTTTATATTTCCGCCAGTAGTGTATAAGAGTTCCAGTTTCTGCCTATCCTCAGCAACTCATTATTTTCCATTTTTTTTTTTCTTTTTTAAATAGTGGCCATCCCAATGGCTGTGAGGCAGTATCTCATAGTTTCGACTTGCATTTCTCTAGTGATTGGTGATGGTGAGCATCTTTTCAGTGCTTGTTGGCCATTTGTATAACTGTTTTGGAGGAGATGTCGATTCAAGTCCTTTGCTCATGTTTTAATCGGGTTGGGTTGTTGTTTGTTGTTGAATTGTAGGAGTTCTTAGTATATTCTGGATGTTAATCTATTATCCGATATATGATTTGCAAATATTTTCTTAATTTTGTAGTTTGCCTTTTCTCCCTCTTGATGGTTTCCCTTGATGCACAGAAGTTTTTAAATCCCATTTGTCTATTTTTGCTTTTGTTGCCTTTGTTTTTGGTGCCATATCAAAGAAATCATCGCCAAATGCAATGTCATGGCACTTTCCCCTGGGTTTTCTTCTAGGAGCTTTATAGTTCTAGGTCCTATATTTAGGTCTTCAATCCATTTTGAGTTAATTTTTGTATTTGGTGGAAGGTCCTGCTATATTCTTTTGTTTGTGGATTTCCAGTTTCAGCAGCATTTGTGAAAGAGACTGTCTTGCTCCTCATTGTGTGGTTTGGCGCTCTTGTCAGCGATCATTTGACCACACGCGTGTGGGTTTATTTCTGGGCTCCCTGTGTTGTTCCATTGGTCTTCGTGTCTGCCTTTCTGCCACTGCCGCACCTTCTCATATTGTTTGAAGTCAGGACATGGAGACCACAACTTTGTTTTTCCTTTTCAAGATCGTTTGGCTCCTTGAGATCCCTTGAGGTTCCCAATGAAGAAATCAAAACATTTTAATGTTAAAACTATACATAAGATTTTTAGACATTATTTCATTGGTTTTCCAAAACAGTGACTACTAATGCTGAATAATTTACTTTAAAATACTGTGCCCGGTTCTGTCAGGAAAACATGAAAATGATACAGAGGATCACTATTATTGTTGCTACTTTGCAACTTTACAGGGTATTGAACAGAAGTTAGAAAAGTAGGGCTGTTGGTCCTATCTTGATAATTATAACACAATATTATAATTACGGATGGCTTCATTTAAGTGAGAGCAAAAGTGCTCATGGAATAAACACTACTATACTCTGACTGCCATAATTTAGCAAAACAGTGTCAGGTGTCTTTGAAAGAAAAAGTGGCAGTTTAGAGAGAGGAGCGCTTTTAACGGCATGTCCTGATAGGCAACCAAGGTTTTTTTTGCCAGAAAGACCAAGTAACATCGGAACACTTTCATTCCTAAAACCAACTTCCATTGGGTGTAGTCCCACATTCCCAATCTGGTGTTCTTCTGACCACCAGGCCAGCTTTAATATTCCATGGTGCACTGAAGCCTGTCCATTTTCTTTTGTGGGGTGGCAGCCAGATGTTGCTGACCATTGAGTAGGTCAACCAGCAGTTCATAGGTGGCCATCATGGTGCAGTGTTTGGAGCCTGCCTAACCAGAGTTATTAGACCGCAGGAAAGACCCATAACCTCCCCGTTTGCTAACCATGGCCTCTGAAAAAATTTCTGTACATTGTGCCCTCTTTACATGGTCTTGTTCTTATAACTTCATACAGAAATTCTATATGTGGCCCAAGTTTTTGGAGTGACAGCAGCATCGTTCCCACAAAATCTGATACTTTCTCATGTTCTCCATCATCTCCCATTGCAGACGTAATCTCATCTTCCAGTGGTGTCTGCTGAATACTGTCACAAATAACAGATGAATCTCAGCCTCTGATGTGCCACCACATGAAGCAGGCACGCTTGTGTAAAGTCCTGTTGAGCCATCTGTCTGATATACTTTATGACCACTTTCAAGAGCACCCATTTGTTTTGTTCTGTAGTTCCTTGCATCAAACTTTAACTGATTCTTTATTAGCCAGAGAAGTTGGTTGCTGTGATTGCAGTGAAACAGGTCACCACAGCTGAAATCTTGTACCAGGTGTCATCAGGATCAAATACACCATTCAGCTTTTCCTTGCAGTGAATGAGCAGCAAAGAATGTTGGTCTAGAAGGGCATCCCCATTAAGCTGGAAGTAAACAAGGAGCAAGACACTCCTTTTTCCGTGATCCCCGTTAGGCAGTAGAAAGGTCCAGGGCAGACAGCTCCTGCCATGGTATTCAGCTAAACTTCAGAGATAGAAAGCATCACAGCAGCTGGCTATCACAGCATTCCAGTGGTCATGTGCGACTAGCCTCCCAAATACCACATCACCCAGCGAGCAGGGACACCAGCATGTTCCTCTGGCCAGAGAGAACCTCGTCAACCTCAACATCATTTTATGAAATCCACTTTATTGAGGTATAATTTACATTCAGTAAAATGCCTGCACTGGAAGTCTAATGTTTTGGTACTGACAGCCATACACAGCTGTGTAACGGCTGCCACAGTCCACATAGATGACGTCTCTGTCACACACAAGACTTCCCTTGTGTTCCTTTCCATGCACCTGCTCACTCCTCAGCCCCAGGGAACCGGTAGTGTGCCTTTTGTCCCTCTAGACTATAGGTGTCTTTTCTGGGTTTCATAGAAACATTCAGTTTTTAAAATCCTGGCCATTCTGTTTCATACTGATATCAGTATTCATTGTGTTTCCTCTTTCTCTGTTCTACTTGTCCATTTTCTAATTGCTTAGCCATATTCAGGAGCTTATAGGTGTTATCTTGAGTCTAAATTTTCCAATTTTTACTACAGAAGTTCGAATTTTTACTATAGAAGTTCTTTTGGAGCAAGAAAAAAAGCGAATACATACTTGCTTTTTTTTGTCTTTTTCAGTAGTGGAGTCCAGACACATTACTGAGATGTTATCCCCAAAGCACCCCGTTGGTGAAGTGCAAGCATCCCACTGGGAGAAAAGGAGAAGCCTGACACGTTGTGGCCTTGAGTGCTTAAATTTCCAAGACGAGTGGGAACGCGGAAGCCAGTTTGATGGACCACAGGGGAAGCTACATGGACACTTGAGTCACATGACAATCAGTCATGAAGCAGTGCCCCCTTTTGACCAGCAAGCATCCCTTACTTTTTATCACAAGAACCAGACTGCAGACAAACCCTATGGATACAATGAATATGGAGACTTCTGGCCGGATGACTTCCTCATTAATCACCAAGGAATTCACACTCATGAAAAACCCTATAAATGTAAAGACTGTGGGAAGGCCTTTAAATACGGCTCCCGGCTAATTCAACATGAGAATATTCACTCTGGCAAGAAACCCTATCAGTGTAGGGAGTGCGGAAAGGCCTTCAATTCGGGTTCTAATTTCATACAACACCAAAGGGTCCATACTGGCGAGAAACCTTATGAATGTAAGGATTGTGCAAAGGCCTTTAGTCGGAGCTCGCAGTTGATTGAACATCAACGAATTCATACTGGAGAGAAACCCTATCAGTGTAAGGAGTGCGGGAAGGCCTTCAATCGCATCTCTCACCTTAAAGTACATTACAGGATTCACACAGGTGAGAAACCCTATACCTGCAAGGAGTGTGGGAAGGCTTTCAGTTATCGGTCTCAGTTGATTCAGCATCAGACGATTCATACTGGCAAGAAGCTCTATGAATGTAAGGACTGTGGGAAGGCCTTTAATCAAGGCTCAACTCTTATCCGACATCAGAGAATTCACACTGGCGAAAAGCCATATGAATGCAAGACGTGTGGGAGGTCTTTTAGGGTCAGCTCACAGCTTAAGCAGCACCAGAGAATTCACACAGGGGAGAAACCTTACCAGTGTAAGGTGTGTGGCAGGCTTTCAAATGGGTCTCCCATCTGACGGTGTATTACAGAATCCATACAGGTGAGAAGCCTTACGAACGTAAGGCATGTGGGAAGGCCTTTGGTCACTGCTCACAGCTCATCCACCATCAGGTCATCCATACTGAGGAACCAGCCCTATGGCCGTCAAGAGGGTGGGAGGACGATGAGTCAGGATTCAACTGCTATTCAACATCAGAGAATGCCAAATAGAGAAATGCAGGTGAATATAGTAAACGTAGACAAGCCTTCCATCAGCACGTATCCCTTGCTGCTCATCAGAGAATTCATGTTAGCAAGCAGTCACCTGAATGGAAGCAATGGGGAAAGCCCACTGGCTTCAGCTGGTCCCAGCTTACTTCTTCCATCTTGGATGAAGACCTGAAGAATGGAACACAAGTGCAGATGCCTTCATTCAGAGCTCTCCCTTAAGTCAGACAGTTCACACTGAGCAAAATCCTATGGTTATCAATTGTTGAGACTATACCAAAGAAGCAAGGGAATCTTGGAAAAAATTGTCTCTAATGCATTCCTGATTCACCTTTCCTAACCACTGTGTAATTTTAACACTAGCCAGAAGTTTTCATTTTGGGGGAAGTAAAAAGAGAAAAACCATGTTACTCTTGGGCTAACAAGGAAATAAATCTTGCAATTAATGGTATAGAAAAGAAGGACAATGAGAGTTTTACATGCTAACAGATGTGGGATATGGTTAGTGATACTTGGAGGAATTTTTATGGCCTTTAAGTGCATGCACAACATGAAAACCTGAAAGGTTATACTCAAATATACTAAATGTGCTATTCAAGAAGCCAAAAAGAGTACCAAACACCCAGATGATGAAATAAATTAATACAAAATGATGAAATAGAAAGTGGTTATCTTACAATAATCTGTTTTTACTTCTTCCTGTTCCAAGAATAAACTAAATTTAGGAGATGGTTTCTTAATTTTCACGTTAATTGTTTTGGGTTATCTTTTATAACTTTTGTTGCAGGTGGAAGGGGTTGGTTGCCTACCTAGCAGCCTTATACAGTTCCTTTCCTTTGGGCAGCATCCATGTCTTGCTTTGGAATCAGAAGATGTCAGATGCTCATTTTCAGCCTTCTTTGCAGTTCAGGATGGCCAATATGTTCCAGGGACCTGTAGGCTTTGAGGAAAGACTTTCCTCATTCGGAAGAGGCAGGTGAATTAGAAAGACTCCCCTCTCCTGCTTTAAAACTTTTTTTTTTTTTTTTTTTTTTTTTTTTTTTTTTTTTTTTTATAACATGCGGCCAGGAAGTGCTGCAGCCACCTTGGAACCAAGAAGAGAAAACAGGACCTCACAGAAGCTGATCCAAAGCCCTGACGAGATAGCTACGAGGCCCATTCTGAAACACTCTTCAGTACCTTTTTATGTAAGAAAAATAAACCTTTATTGCTGAAGTTGATTTCAGTTGAATGTTTTGTAAACTTCCAGCCAAAAGCATCCTAAATTATGTAACTTCAAGATTGATTAATACCTACTTAACAAGACATAGTGATGACTCAGACAGAAATGCTTCAGAAAGGAAACCACTTTTGTCAACTGTGTTGACAAGCCACAGAGGGTAATGACTGGGCCTGATCGTGGAGTATAGCAATTTGGAGGGAAAAATTTCTACCTCAAAGGGCTTGCTTCCTGCCAAGCAGCTGGACGGTTATCTGTGGTGGCTTTTCTCTTCCCGCAAAGGCCCCACTCACCTGGGCACAAGCCTCCGAATGCTGCCTCCTCCACCACCCAGGGCTCTCTGCCTTGCTCCAGGAAGGCGATCACATCGGGTTTGCAAATGGCAAGATCTGGATGCGAGAAGAAATATGCCATCCAGTTATGCTGTGGACCCCAGAATTCAGATCCAGGGCCTGGTCATCGAAGAGGAGTCAGCTGTGCGAAGGGCCAGGGGAAGATGTGGCTGCCACCTAACAGCTGGGAAAGATGTAACTTCAGCCAATGGACCTGCCCTTTAACCACTCAAGGGTACCCCGAAATTGACAGGGAAGGAACAGATATGCCCAAAGGTAACCTCCATACTAACAGAGCCGGCCACCTCACCCAGAGAGACCAGGTTGCTGTAGGTCTCCAACATGACGTCCCTGTACAGGTCCCTCTGAGCAGGTGCCAGCCGATCCCACTCTTCTTGGGAGAAGACTACAGCCACGTCCCTGAACAAGTCTGATCCCTGGAACAACAGGTGGGTATGTTACATGTAGACATCAAGGAAACATGTCTCGGTGGGATGAGAGGAGATGGAGGTGGCTTTGGCAGGAATGGGACATTCTGGGTAAAAAGAATGTTGGGGCTGGGGTCTGTGTCATGAATAAAATAGAATGTTCAGATGTTCCTAAAAGTTCTTTTTTTACAAACCAAGCTCTTGTACAGAGGTGGGATGAAAACTAAAATCCAACTAAATGGAGTTTCCCCAATTGTGACAGTGTAATAAAGCATGCTGCCTACTGTGTCCTTGGCGTATACTAACTTCTCAACGTAAGAGCTAAAATTTCTACTTTTATGGAATTAAAAAAGAAAAAACCAAAGCAACAATTTTCAATAGGAGAGAGTAATAGAAGAAGATACTGGCTGCCTGGTCCTTTCATTCCCCAAAATGGGAACCTCTGAGAACCAGATTTTTGGGTGGAAACCAGGTGGGAAGCTTCAGGATAAGGAAAGCAAGTATTTACATGATTTTAACTCACGAGGGACATGACTTTCAGAATTTCATGGGCTGATCCGTCCTTCTCCTGGCTCCTCTCTTGGGTAAGGGTGGAGTCCTGAGGTGGCAGAGCTGGGGGAGGAAAGAACAAATATGAGAGGCGGGGCTTGCCTCACAGCTCCCAGAATGCCATGCTACAAGTCCCCATCCCCTTGACCCCCACCTACCACCTAAACCGAAGAGAGCTGGGACAAATTGTGGTCATCACTCAACTCCAGAAAACCCAGCTTTAGCTACTGGAAGGAAACCAGGGGCTCCTTCTCTCCCATTTCCCCTAAATACCCAGAAAATTTTATCTCGTTACTGGTGCAAATCTAAGATGGGGATGTTCACACCTGGTTCAACGAATGAGACTAAAATGGTGCCCCAAGGACAAGGAAGGCTGTCCTCAGGCCTGGAAGCACAGAAAGCCTGATCTACATCAGCCCAGCACACAATGAAGACTTCCCAGAACCAGACCATTTAACTCTCTCATGCCCGCAACATAACACCTTCAAAAATCTCTGTGGAACTTTCCCCTACTTTCATATTCACAAAGAGCCCCAGGGGCCTACCTAAGGCCTGGTGGGCAACACTGTGTGGACCCTGTCTTGAGTCAACAGATGGGGTGTGGTTGCAGGGGACAAATTAGATGGAGCAGGTACTGTGCTCCATTATCAGCACATAAATATGCCCCTGAACAGAGAAATACCTTTGTGCAAAGCTGCATGCACAACAATATTTGCTGGAAAACAAAACCGAATATTAGTATGTAACAGTCCGCAAGTAGACTAGTGAGCAATTCAATTCTGGTGCAGCCAAGTGACAGACGCCAATCAACTATCAAAAATGATATGGGACAATATTAACTGACAATGAAAGACATTCACAACTGGACATTCCTTTTACCCGGAACATTCAGCAAATCAGATCAAACCCACCCACCTACTGACACAGCCTCAAGCAAACACAACTTACGCCCATAGACCAAAACTGGAATAGAAAACATCCAAGTATTAAGAGTGATGTTATTTAATCATTTCCTAAATTGTTTATAAAGGAGTTTAGGGCAGTGACTACCATGTTACAGATATTTAAGTAATATGTAAATGAGATCATCATGAATGTGCCTTAATACCACATAACAGGAATTTTTCTTACTATGACCATTGTTTAAGGATTATCTGTAATAGCTGTGTAGTATTTTATTAAATGAGTGGACCATGACTTACTCAACCATTTCCCCATTGGACACAAATTTTGAACAAAATTATCTAAAATGTTCCCTAGTATAAGTCCACCTCTGAACTACTGGTTCTAAAACTTTGCGGGTCTTGCAACTCTTTGTGAATCTCATGAAACAAGATTTCTACCCAGATTAAAACAAACAAACAAAAAACAAGGGCACGCGTAAGAATGACTGCAAAGCACCGCAAGCATTTTTAGGCGGTCTGGACCCCTGAACACCCACCTAAGGGATCCATGGACGGGGGCTACGAAGCGAGCAGAAAGAGGGCGCCAGCAAGGCGTGCGCCGCGGGGGCCGACGGAAAATGTAGTCCAGAGCCCGGGAAGCCGCAGACGGATGCTGGGGTGAGACGTTCTGGTACCTCCTAGACCCGAGACGCGCCCAGTCGCAGCGCCCGCTCTCACAGGAACCCTGGAGTACCCGGCAAGCTCAAGAACTCCTTACCTGCTGGCTCTTCGCTTCCAGGTGCCACTGCGGCCGCGACCCCCGCAGACCCCGGTGCGCTCCTTCCTCGGTATCGGCGGACTTACCGCCTGGAGCCAGAAGATGGCGCAGACGCACAAAGCCGCGCCGATGCTGCGTCGTGATTGAGCCAGCGCTGCAGTCTTTTCTGAGAAACGTAGTTTCTAGGCTTAACGGCCGTAGCCGAGTCATAAGGCCGAGTCATAAGTCGCGCTGTTCAGGAGTGGGCGGGACCCGGACGTAGCGTGAAGGTCTTTTTGTGGGTTGTGCTGTCTACGTGCGGTCCTCTGATTGCGGTTGATTGTGTGAGTGGCCGTGATCCTGTGTGCTGTGATTCTTGTGACGGTGTATGTCGTGTTTACTGTTGTCTTGGTCTTGAGTGTGTGACTGGGACTGTTCAACGGTTGTGTGCGACTGTGTGAAGAATGTTCTCATCTATTAAACGAGCATTTCCACAGAGCTGTTTATTTTACCAGAAGATTTGTAGGGAGTAAAAATCCCAAGAATGTATCTGGTGACTAATTGTAAATATTATATCTATGTTGAAATAAATGTAGATTCTGAAGGAGAATGCAAAATCGGGGAGGCGGGGCGGCGCGGAATGTGTTTAAGGAGATGTCAAGGCGTTTCCTGTTATGGGGTGATATCTCTCGGCCAAGTTCTCCAGCCACAGGTCGTTCACCTTCGCTGCGTGAAAGAGTGAGAAGGCTAGTCGTCCCACATCCTGAGGCAGATGGTCACGTATGGTCAGGGCTCTGATGCCCTGGATGTAGGTCAGGCCCTGTTACACCTGGTCTCTGAATGAGGAAACCATTCCCGTCCAAGGTGGCACAGTTTGTCCTGGAGCCAGGCCCAGAGTTCCCTTTGGAAACAGACAAGTTGAATATTAAATTCTTGAGCCAAAAAGTAGAGATATGTTCAAAAAACATCAGGGAGGGTTCCTGCTTCAAGCTATAATGATATAACTGTACTAAACTTGCCATCCCACTTGAAACAAAAAAACTAGATACCTTTAAGAAACCAGTCCTTTCAGACATTGGCCAACTAGTATTGCAAGACTTTGATCCTGGAGAGAAGGGAAATAAATGAGATTCTGCAGTTGCGGTGGCTTCCTGTCTGAAGGCATATTCTAGACCTCAGCAGAGAAGGAACGGGGAGGCAGAGCACCAGTTTGCTAAGTCGGCACTAACAGCACAGTTTGGGGAGACTGAAGTGACTGGAATTTGTGGGGCAGAGTGTGGAAGAGGAGTTGGTATTTCCACCAAACAAGACCTCAGTACCTGTGGGTGGAGGAAATGCTACCTCGATCTTCTGAGTGGTGGATGAACCAGTATGGAACCTTGGAGAAAGCATCTTCAGAGACAGATGACATTTGCTTCATGACATCACAGAGGCCATGAGGCCTCATGGAAACAGAGAGTCTGGACTCTAGGCTAGGACCTGGAGGAGATAGCGTACAAAGGTGCCCAGAGGAGAAAGAAGGTCACTGAAGCCGTGGCAGGCTTGTGCTGGGCAGGACACTTCCAAGAAATGACTACAGAGGATGGTATTAATATCAGGCCTTCTGGTCACTCCCATAGGATGAGTTGGCTGGGCTTCCTGAGGCTGAGTGTCAGGCAGCTGGATAAGCTAACTGGGAACAAATCTGAGCCGGACAACAAAGCTGTAATGAGGCGAGGAACCTTGGGTCCCTGAGTAAGGACAACGGGTCATTTATGGTCAACCAAGCAGTATGACCCCACCAGACTCATATCTCAGGCAGATAAACTGGGCTGCATTTTCTTTTTGTCCTGACTCGTGGAACTCAACTGCATTTATCAGACGTGACTTTGGCTCTGAGTCAAGCCTCTCCTCTCCCTCTGCCACTGAATGTCTGTCTCAGGCCAAATCTAGGAATAGGATGGTACCATAGCAGGAGAAGAGAAGGGATTGGATTCTTTATAGATATTTTAAAGGTGGGGCTGATAGGATCTGCTTTACTGGGTGAAGTAGCAAGAGAAAGAGGAGTCATCAAAGATAACTCCAGGGGATTTTGAGCCAAATAACTGGAATAACATTTACTGGCGTAGGAAGACCGAGAGAGGAGAACATTTGTGGAGGTAAGATTGGGTGTTTGATTTGAAATGTCTGTTAGACGTATGAGTAGAAATATGGAGGTCATTTTAGGGGGAACGTCTGGGCTAGAATTTCAAATTAGGAAATATTTGCATCAGATGGGTAGAGTCTTTGAGGACTGATGACATTGAGCACCTTTTTGTGTATCTTTGGAGAAATGTCTATTCAAATCTTTTGCCCAGTTTTCTTAGCCACTTGTAAGTTTTCTTTACATATTTTGGATACAAGTTCTTGTCAGATACCTGAACTAAGTTTTAACAAAGGTTCAAAGGCAATTTAATGGAGGAAGAATATCCTTTTCAACAAACAGTTTTGAAGCCATTAGACATTCCTATCACCCCTCCAAGAGAACTTTGACTTTACGCTTCTTACAAAAATTAACTCAGTAGATTACAGACTTAAATTTGCAATACTACTAACCCATGAAAACATTTCATCTTCATTGTGACTACTGAGGGCAAAATAAAAAGGTCCTGTCTTTGTTTACTACTCAGGATTAAGTAATTAGATTATTACAATAAATTTAGATATGCTGGGCAGACTTCTGTTTGCTGAGTGCTCTTTTGAATGGGTTAAATGGTTTTATGCAAATCAAAGTAAATTTTGATTTACTTAGTGACTATTGCCAAGCCTTGTAGAGGGTTCTGCCAACAGAATAAGCTTAAAAGATAATGGCTGAAAATGAAAAATGTTACCACAAATCTTCAGGCTAAAGATGCCCAATCTTCATTTATGAAATGTGAAAAAGGCTGCAAAAAACCTGGCCGGTTACTAAGGTCTTAGCTTATAGTGTTTGTGTATATAGTTTGAAAAAACAAGGGAAAGACAATCAGAAATTCAACAAATACAAAACGAACTACAATTTTGTGGATTGTGGTCACCTTTTTCACATAGGAACAGTTTTCCAATATTGCAGTTTTAGTGCAATTATAACAGCTTTGTTCTTAAAAAAAAAGCAAGTATTTTCACACATGGCTTTTCATCATATTCTTTTATAAGTTGTACAGTTTTCAAACCGATAGAATACTGTTATCATTGTACTTGTAGCCATTGTTTATATCAACACTTTATTACTATAAACAGTGCTTCAGTTAATATCTTTGTGAATATATTTGTATTTTTTATTTCCTCAATATAAAAATTCCCATCTCATGTAATGCTTTTAGTCATTGGTGACTTTAGTGAGACAAGTTACCTTGAAGCACTGAAGCATACAACAGAATTTTGGAAAAGTTCAGACATGACTTGGAGATAGGGCTAGAGATAGGAGTTTATAAAATATTTTCAAAGAAGTTCAATGGGAACTGAAAGACTGAAGAACTGAAAGACTGATCTATAAACTGCTGTTTTTCTTTATACACGTATCACTTCCAAATATGCATTAGTAGTTTTTTTTCTTTACTATTGAATTTCTCCGGCATTAGAATGTCAGGTACCTGCAGGTGGGTATTTCTGAGTGTTCACGGTTGTGTTCCCAGCGCCCGCAACGGTGCTTGGCACACAGTAGGCGCTCAATAAATAGTTAATAAGCCAGGGAAGAGAAAGAACCTAAGCTCCTAACCAGTCCAGCATGCTCCCCGGGTCATTCTCCTTTTGGCCCTGATTGGCTGGTCCTGCCCGCGCGGCTCCTGAATCCCTAAAGCGACCAAAAGCGCGGGCCCACCCGCTGCGCGTGCGCATCGCCATCTGAGCCCTCCCCCCTCCACTCGCGCCTAGGCCTGAGCGAGACTCGGTAGGGCAGTCGAGGGTCGGCCGGCCTGAGAGGGCAGAGCGATCCCAGTTCTAGGTCGGAAGGCCAGGGGAATTCGGTACCGCGGCAAAGACCACTCGAGAGGGACGCGGCCGGAACCACCCAGGCGAGCTTGGCCAGCAGTCCCAGGATGCGCCGCGCCGGGCCTCGGACTCCATTTCCCGGCGGGCACTGCGGCCGATGCCCGCTGCCCGCCCGAGCGCGGCGGCCCCTTTGTGAATCCCCGGGTCAGACCCTAGATCGAGTCCCCGCCCCGGCCCGCGGGGGCGCTGGGCTTCCGGCCTCCGCCGACCGACCGCACTGAGGGAGGTACCGACCCGCTGGGAGGAGGTGATGAGACTTCTAGATCGGGTGGGCGCCTGGGCCGGCGTGTGAGGTGGCCTGTCATCGTGTGTGAGACCGTGTCACCGCGCGTGTGAACAAAGTGGGCCCATGTGCGATTGAGCGTAACAGTGTAAGACGGTGTCACCATGTGTGTGAGACTGTGTCACTGTGAGGCCATGTGATTGACAATGTGTGTGGCACTGTGAGACCACGTGTGAACAGTTTGGCCATGTGTGTGACTACGTGAGAATGTATGTGATCATGTCTGCGACAGTGAGCGTGCAACTGTGTGACTGTGTGGTCATGTGCGTAAGATTGTGTGACCTTAGGGCTGCATGAGACAATGTTAGACACTAACAATGTTAGTGTGACATTGGACCCAGAGTGGCCTTGTGTGACCCACTGTGAACGGAGGGCAGTCTACAGCTCCGGGACGTGTCCACAGGCTGCCAGGGGAGTTGCCGGCAGGAGAGACTGGTGCGTTGGTGCGAGGTGAGGCCGTCAGGTGCTTAGGGAGGCCAGTGTGCTCCAGGGTTTGGTGACCGTGTTGGGAGGGAAAGACCAAGATGCAGGGGAAGAGATAGAGATTAAGCAGAGAAGTGAGGGAGCAAGTGAGGGGGCAGAGCTGGAGAGGAAGAGACAGAGGAGCCCCAGCCTCAGGCCTGGATAGCAGAAGACAGGGCAGCAGGACCTTCACCATCTCCAGTGCAGATCTTTCCATCCCCCTCCCAGCCCCTCTCCTAGTGAGTGATGGAAGAGTTAAAAGAAGAAATCTACTGTGTGCTATTTCTGAAAATAAATGGCTGAATAAGATTTATTTATCATGAGGATGTCCAGGCACTGTGCTCAGTGCTTTATGTGGATCATGTCATGATAGTCTCAGCAGTTGATAGGGGGTGGGTACCGTTTACCAATGAGGAAGCTGAGGTTGCAAGTGGTTCCATAACTGGAGGGAGGTTACAGAGTTAATGAGTGGTGGATCGGGTGTTTGAGCGCAGGCATTTTGATCCCCAAACCTAGTAGCCCTTACCACTAAGTCGCTGCTTCTGAGATAATTGCTTTACTTTCCAAGGCTGTGAAGTTTAGTGGGAAGTCACTCTTTGATTAGGAGTTTCAGTGACTGTTCATGCATAGTTCCCCGTTCCTCAGTCTCTTATGAGGGAATTGCTCATAAAAGAGATTTGTCTTTAGGTGCAGTTAGTCATACGCCAGGACCAGAAGCAGGGTGTCCTCCAAACCACATGACCCCTCTGATGCCTACTCTGTGTAAAGAGGTTTTCTCTGAGGCATTCACTTTGTAGCTTATCTCTTTGTAGAAAGGGGAAATATTTCTTTTCAACATCAAGAGAAGGATAGGAGGTTTTCCAGGCTGGTGATGCAGGGGCTGAGCTGACATTTTAGGGTTTCTTTCTCCTCTCCAGCTCTATTTTCTCCAGACACTGCCCTTCTCCCAGAGAGGAGCCTGAAGGAGGCAGACAGAAGAGCTGTCATCAATTCTTAAATTCCTTAAGCCATGTCTGAGGTAAGGAAGCATTTTTTTCTCTCCTCCCTGGAATGCCTTAATTTTCAGGTTTTCTATGAAGGTTTTGCTTTTCTTCTGAAACTCCCCAGCCTAACAAAGTCCCGTTCATTAGTGACCTCGTTCTCATGTTCTCCAGTTCAGTAAAAGGAGGTCCCCAAAAGCCCAGTGAGCATCTTTTTTTCCTCAGCCAGCATTTTCATGTTCATTCAAGAAATAGTTTAGCGCCTCCTATGGGTTAGGTGTTCTATTAGGAGCTATCAAGAGGCAGAAATGCACTTCTGGGTAGGATGTGAGAGCCTTCATCGTAGGGATTCTCTGAGGTCAAGTGTATGTTCAAATGTGACCACTAGCTTAGAGCTTTTCCACAGACCTGGGTTCGAGAGGAAGGCAAAATGAGGGCTGTTGGGCAATCTCAGTCATTGTACATGACAAGGTCTCCTGCTCAAGGTGACTTTGAGGAGTGGGATGTGTGGGTCTTAAGTATTAAACTGTGGGTTAGCTGGGGCAAGGATGTTTTCAGGCTTTGAGAAGTAGGATTCCATGAGTGTAATGAGGCTCTGTTTTAGGAATGTCTTGAGTAAGTAGTAGGCTACAGCTAGTATATTCTGGGTCATCCAGTTAAGATTAGTGGGATTAATATGGAAAAATAACAGGAAATTTTTTGAAAAAGAAAAATAGGAGGAGTACTTGAATAATTGAAAGGAGTATACATTAAAATGGCTACATAGGAAAACAGTAAATAGTGTGGAATGGAAGCCAGAAGAAACAAATTAAAAGATCGGCATATAATATCCAGAAGCAAATACAAGTTGAAATAAGAATGGAAAATATTTACTCATTCATTAAATGTACGGTTCCTAAAGAGTTACTGTATACTAAGTGCTGGCAATACTGAGGTAAATAAAAATAGACTATCTTGGTCTTCATGGAATTTAGTTTATTATATGATAATGATGTCATTTTAAATCAGTGGAGGAGGGATAGATTTTTTAGAAAAAAATGTCTTCCTTACATGTTAAGGTTAAATACGTTCTGTAGGTTAAATATAAAAAATAAAACCATACAAACCGTCGGATGAAAATAGAGAATGGTTGTAAAGAGGAAGATGAGCCAGAAGCAGAAATCAACTAGAACAGCACTATCCAATAGAACTTCCTGTGATAGTTGATAGAAATATTCTATATCTGCACTTTCCAGTACAATAGCTACTATCCACACGTGGCTGTGGAACACTTGCCTATACTAGTGTGACTGAGGAACTGGATTTTAATGTTAACTGATTTAAATTTGAATAGCCACACGTGGTCAGTAGCTAGTGTATTTTGGCCTTCTTTTGGATCTAGGCTTACAAAATGATAAAACCAGGAAGAAAACTGTAGATGATCTTTTCCAAACCTCTCATTTTACAGATGAGGAACAAGAGGCCAAAAAAGGAACATGACATAGTCACTAGTTAGTGACTGTGTCAGTTGTAGGAAGTTGTATTATATGTTGACAGTCAGTAATATAAATGATGGTGAGTGATGATTTGAAGAAGGTGGTAGAAAATGATGGACACTGTGACCTTTGCCTAGAAGCTTCATTGGCTTCCCATCTGACTTGGAATGCAATCCCGTGTCCTTATCATGGCCTCTAAGGCCCTACATAAGCCTGCTCTTGGCTACCCCAGACCTCACTTTCTATAAGTCTTTATATTTCTCTGCTTCACTCACACTTGTCCCCTTGCTGTTCCTCAAACTTACCAAGTTCTTTCCAGTCTGTGAATCTTTGCATTTGCTCCTCCCTCTTCTGTACTTCTCTACCCCTGGATATTGGTGTGGCTTGCTATCTCACTTATATTGAGATTGTTGTTCAAACTTTCTTTAGGTTTATCATGATCATCTGTCTTACCTAAAATAAATACCCCTGTCACTCTCAATCACGTTACCTTGTTTCTTTGTCATAATGTTTAACACTACTTGGCACTGTATGACCTCATATTTAATGTCTTTCTCCTCTGTTAAAATATTAAGTCCACAAGGGGTGGGGACTATATTTTGTCCACTTCTGTATTCCCAACAGTGTAGTACTAGGCATTCAGTAAATATTTGCCAAATATATGAATGAACAAAGGAATGGAGGCAAAGGGAGGCGAGAGCCATCTACCACTCCTCTCCTGCCACTGAATTGTCAGTGGAAGAAGGGGAAGGCAGAGGGTGTGATTTGTAGAATAGATAGAGCCCATCAGCCCAAATGCTGCTTCCAGGACCCTACCCCAGACCTCCTGAATCACAGTCTCTGGTGGTGAGGTCTAGGAAACCACATTTTTATTGAGTCCCAGGATGACTTTAACACACACTTTTTGAGAACCTCTGCCTCTAAAGATTTTATCTTTAAGTTATCCTCCTATAAACAGTATATAGTTGGGATTTTTTGTTTTGTTTTGTTTTCTTCACCCTGTGCTCACTGGGCACTCAAGTGGCCCTGTGTGCCTCTCACGATCCCCTGTGTTTCCCCTCAAAATGTTGGTTGGTTTTGAAAATCCAGTCTGATAAGCTTAGTCTCTTAATTAGTATTTAGTACATTTTCATTTAATGTAATTACTGATATATTTGTGTTTAAGCCTACCATACTGCAGTTTATTTTCTACATATCCCATCTGTTCTTTGTTCCTGTATTTCTCCTTTTTGGCCTTCTTTTGGATAAATCAGGTGTTTTTCATTATTATCTTGTTAACTATACATTATTTTTATTATTCTTTTAGGATAATATGTATCCATTGCTCATTATGTAGTAATACTCTTTCTTCCTTCTGTAATCTTCCTCTTATAGTTAGTACTGTCACCAATTGAGTTAGTACTCTCAACAAGTTAAGACCACTACCATGGTTTAACTCTAAGATATTAGTAGTAGATATTATGTATGGTTTATAGTTATTGTCTTGGGACTCCTAATTTCTTCCTGTGTTTCCGTGCTTCCATTTCCTTCCATTTTTCTTCTACCTGAAAAACCCGTTAGTATTTCTTTGCGTGCAGGTCAACACTTTATTCTCACCCGGAATTATTTTTCATTCACTCCTATTCTTGCTGGATCAAAATAGTGTAATTGAACATTTTTTCTGAGGTTAAGTAAGTCTGGGAAATTCTAGTCTACATGGAGAGAAAAACTTCTAGAAATTTAAGAAAATAATTACAGGCCTTTGCATCATTATAGTGGAAAAACTGAGATTCATATATGATGAAAATATGATGTGGCATGTTTATACCATGTAATATTATCCATCCAACAAAGGTGATGTTATAAGTAAATATGCATAGATAATCATAGACTTGTCTGTATAAGGAAACATTTGAACAAATATATTCTAATTGTAAATTTCGATTGGTCTTAGGAGGTAGGGCGACATGGTAGGTAGGTGTGGTGGGTGGAAGACCTAATTCTTTAACTTAAAAAGGGGGGGAAAATTCACTGAGGGTAGAAATACTGAATATTATTTTATAATCTTCCTTAATGATGACAAAATTGTATGAAATTTGTTTTAGCACATCAAAATATAAAAATATTTGAAAGGTATTCAAGTCTCATTGGCTGAGAAAACAATGTCAGACAGTCGAAACCTGGAATCCATTAATTTGTGAATGCAGCTAAAAAATGTCTTTTAAGAACTTTATCTAGCAAAACCTGCCTTACCTGTCTACAGAAGACATTATGTGTGGAACATTCTTTTTGTACAAAACATTATCAAAAGTCTGAGTTTTAATAGAGTTTATGACTTACAGTGCCCAGCCTGTGTAGGTCAACATTCATCCTTTCACACCTGACTTCACGTTCCCTTTCTTCCTTGAAGCTTTTACTCCAAAGTGTTTCAGAGACGGGAAGCATGTGAGGTGGAAGCTGATGTGTGTAACTGATTCTTCTTGGAGTCATACTTTTGCTTCCTTTATAGCCTACTTAACATTTTTGTCCATCACTTAGGCACTAGTGAGTCATACATTGACTTATTGTTTCCATTAAAAATGTTTTTGTGAAAAATCATCAATGTGCTTAAATACATCTCCAGTAGGAGCCCTGCTCTACAGAGTCACAGTAGGAACAAGAGTGATGTTCGTATTTGACAGCTACTCAGGCCAGGAGACACACCAGAACTTCCTCCAGGTTGGGTCCTGGAGGCTGCTGCCATGCTGGACTAAGCGGGTATCTGGGATGGTCACTGGCAGGGCTCAGGGCAACAGCTGTTTACCAACTTGTATGGCGCTATTTCAATATCTGACAAGTCCGTTCAACTGTTCGGGTGGGTACCACTGAGTGCCATCTGTCTGTCAGCACAGCTTAAGTGGCATTCCTCTGGGACATGCCAAACCTGAGAAGCATATGCCAGACCATGCAACAGACCTTGCTAAGTCTGGAGCAGAATCATCTCGTTTGGAGGAATACCCATTTTTAGTTTTTAGGGAGCAAACTAGGTCTTTTTCCATATTACAAGGACCCTTAATTCAACAAATGGTAGTAGTATTGGGAGAGCTGTACTGTAACATTTAAAAAACATTCTCACTCATTAGATATGCACAATTGCGTATGTTCCTCCAGTGAGAGCTGTAGGTATTTTTTGATATACTTCATGATCACATTGGAAATAGTCACTATTTAATTTCATCAATAGTGCTTAAAATGACTATTATTTTGTCTCTTAGGTAGCATAAGTTACCAGCTGTCTTTGAAACTTAATGGGGTTCTCAGGAGCTGTCAGGTAATCCTTTGCTGCCCCTGAGGTTCTCTGTTATGGCATACATTTGCTTAAGGTGTAGTTTTGCAAAATCACTATAAAATTTGTCTGCTATTTTTATTACATATATATTTAACTATAGAAGATCAATATTATAAGTATTCTATCAATAAATCTGGAGCATTCTAGATTTCATTGGAAAATTGCTGGTTTAGACCACATACGTCTTGGAAGGCTTAACTCCTGTCCTTGCTCCTCCTTGAAGCTTGCCTTCACTGGCCCAGTCTATCCTGATTCTCCAGATTGAGAAATGTTTTAGCATTCAGTATGAATAAGCTATTACTTACACTTGATTGTTTACAGTATCGTTATTGCCCATTTTGTGGTATGTTATCTTTTCTCCATAGGGACTCTCGGAAATTGTGCACATCATGGCATCATCAAGACTAACGACAGAAGTTGTCCAGCAATTACTCCACATGTGTTACACAGAACCTAAGATACTGCCAGAAAATTTTGCTATATGCAATGTTCCTCTCCAGAAGTATAAATGATTTAACTCTTCAAACTATGCCCATGTGAGGGTAATACCACTAGTTAAACAAGAATATGTTTATGTCCTTTCAGGATTTGGTGACATTTGGGGATGTGGCCGTGGATTTCTCTCAGGAGGAGTGGGCACGGCTGAACCCTGCCCAGAGGGACCTGTACAGGCGTGTGATGCTAGAGAACTACAGGAACCTGGTGTCACTGGGTAAGGAGGGCTCCCTGTAGGCCAGAACCTGCACTTAGGGCTGCTTTCCAATGTGATATTTGGGAAGCCTGTGATGTACTTCATTCAGTTTCTCTTTTTTGTGCTAACCCTCAAATAGGCTGAGTTTTGTAGAACTGGTAGCTTCATTAAATTATTCCTGCAGCTTCCTCTTCCTCGTTCTTCAGCACACTTCCTCTTCTTCAGCTCCCACCTGTGATGCCCCTACTTTTCTGGTAACCAGGGAGCTCAATCTGATTGATGGGCCTGGCTAACTCCCCTTTTATTTCTTAAAAGCAGGAGTTTCAGTTTCTAAGCCAGATGTGATCTCATTACTGGAGCAAGGAAAGGAGCCTTGGATGGTGAAGAAAGAGGGGTCAAGAGGCAAATGCTATGGTGAGTGAGAGAGAACTAGGGAGGTGGAGGCCATTGTAAGGAAAAGCTCAGCCATTCTGACAGATTCCAGCTCGTAACTGAGGTTTCCTGGGTCGCTTTTCTTAAAGGCTCTAGGCCTGGGAGGAAACACTGAGGTGCCCTTACATGACCTCCCCAACTTATTCTCCTGTATATGTTCTTTCACACGTTAAGGTTATCTTCTTGGATAACCTATTCCTGTTCTCTGGGTCCAAATGTCAGTGTCTTCTTGTCCTTGCTTTTGTTTTGCACAAGCTGCTCCATCACATTAAAAACATCCAGACAAAACAATGCCTATTTTTTCCTTTTCACTCACTCATTCCTTTTAGATTAAAAGACCAATTCACTTATTTATACAGTATTTTACCAAGATTCACTGAGTTTCTACTTTGAGAAATCATTCCGCTAAATTCTTGGGATTATTCAGAGGTTTATAAACCATCAATGAAAAAAGAAAGCATTTGCAGTTGTTATTTTCAAGTGTGAGTAACTAGAAGGTGATACCATTTAATAGAAACAAGTCAGAAGAAAAGGTTGGGAGGGGAAAAGTTGAATTTGGCTTGGGACATAAGAGACTTATTTTTATGAGCTAGGGATATTTCCAAGTGAAGAAATGCAACATGCCATTGGAGGGAGGCAGGCTAAGAAAAAAAGTGATTTAGAGATGTTAACATGAATGAATGAGAATAAGAGTGTGAGAGATAAAGCCTGGACTGGGGCCTCTGTAGGGAAGTGAGCTTTGATAACTTTCTCAATGCCCTCTCTGTTAAATGGCTTCTCTACAGTTTCTGTTTTGGGTTAAATTTTCTAAATTTTAATTTTTCTAGATATTATCCTTTTCATTTAGGTTTCAGATTTATTTCTGTGAATCTGAGCAAAATAATCTCTTATAATTCTTTTTATTTCTTTTATAGCTATAGTAGTTTCCAATTTTAATTTCTTATTATGTGTACTTTTCTTTTTTAAATTATTTATTAGGTTGCTATTCTTTAATCAACTTTTTTATTTTTAAAATCCAACTTATGGATTTATCTATTAGTGTTACCATTCTTCTCTTTTCTAATTCTCTGGTTTCTGCTTTTTTCTTTACAGATTCTTACCTTCTAATTTTCTGAGGTTAATTTTGTTCACTATTTGCTGAAATGAAAGCTTAACCTATTCATTTCATTCTCTTTTATTTACTAATTATTAAGGGCTATGAACTTTCCTCTGAATATAGCTTCAGCTGTCTTCTGTTGAGTCTGATGTTTAATGTTTTTGTTATTGCTGTTCTATAGATAAACTACTTTTAAAATTTTCCCTTTTACACAAGAGTTGCTTAAAATAAAGTTTTTCTGGTTTTACTGTATTTTGACCAAATTGTTTTATCATATTTGATCCAATAGTAATTAGTACTAGTTCTACTTTCTAACATTTGAGGACTTTATGTGGCCTAACATATATTTAGTTTTTGTAAATGCTCCATAAGTTCCAAAGTGTAGTCTCTATTTTCAGGGTAAAGAGCTTGTTACATATCATGAGTTTTATTATTTTATGTTATTAAAGTGTGTTTTTACTGACATTTTTATTTCTATCTATAATTTTTTTAATAATTTCATTAAGGAATTAATTAAACAGTAAATGGCCTCTATACAAATTATGAAATGTGATGAGTTCTAACACTTGTTTACAGCTACAAAACCATCACCACAATCAAGACACATAGCTTGTTACCCCATATGATTGTGCCTTTTTGTAGTCCATCCTTCACCATTCCCAGCTCCAAATACTATAATCTGATCATTTTAGATTCATTTTAGCATCTAAACTAAATGGAATCACACAATACATGTTCTGTTATGTCTGGCTTACTTCATAAAATCAAAATTTTGAAATTCATCCATATTGTGTGAATAGTTTATTCTTTTTACTGCTGAGTGTAGTAGTCCTTGTATAGATATTCCACATTGTGTTTTTCCATTCACCTGCTGACAAACATTTGGGTTGTTTCCAGTTTGGGGCTATTATAAAACCACTACAAAGCTGTCATGTATAGGAATTAGTGTGGATGTATGTTTTCATTTCTCTTGGGTAAATATCTAAAAGTGGAAAAACTGAGTCATGTGATAGGAATGTTTAACTTTTTAAGAAACTGTGTTTAACTTTTTAAGAAACTGTGTTTAACTTTTTAAGAAACTACCAGTTTTCCAAAGTAACTATACCATTTTCATTCCCACCAGTTATGAGAGTTCCAGTTGCCCCACATCCTCACCAAATCTTGATATTGTCAGTATTTTTAATTCTATTTATTGTAATGGTTGTGTTGTGGTATCTTATTGTGGTTTTAATATGCATTTCTCTGATGATTAATAATGTTGAACATCTTTTCATGTACTTATTGGCCATTCATATATCTTTTGTGAAGTGTCTGTTCAAATATTTTGCACATGTTTTATTGGGTTGTTTTTCTTCTTATTGAGTTGTAAAAGCTAGTGTTAATACAAGTCCTTTCATAATACGAGTCCTTAATACAAGTGTCTGTTCAAATATTTTGCACATGTTTTATTGACCATGTTTCATTGGGTTGTTTTTCTTCTTATTAAGTTGTAAAAGCTAGTGTTAATACAAGTCCTTTCGTAATACGAGTCCTTAATACAAGTGTCTGCTCAAATATTTTGCACATGTTTTATTGGGTTGTTTTTCTTATTATTGAGTTGTAAAAGATAGTGTTAATACAAGTCCTTTGTCATTTATATGTATTGGGATCTATGTATGCCAATTGTGCTTATGTTTTTGTTTTTTTACTGCTATCTTTTGAACATTCAGAGTTTTCAATTTTTGTAGATTGGTTGGTGCTTCTTCTGCCATGTCTAAAAAAATTATTGCTGCTACCAGGTCACAAAGCTTTTCTTATGTTTTCTCCTAGGAATTTTATAGTTTTAGTTTTTACATTTTGGTATATGATCCATTGAGCTAATTTTTGTGTCTTGTATGAGGTAAAGGTTGAGGTTCATTTTTCCCCCCATTTGGATAATTCAGTTGCTCCAGTACCCTTTTTTGGAAAGGCTTTCCTTTCCGCTTTAAATTGCCTTGTTGATACCTTTGTTGACAATCAGTTGACCATAAATGCATGGGACTAGTTCTGAATCCATTCTGCTCCATTGGTCTATATGTCTATCCTTTCACCAGTACCATATTGTCTTGATATCAGTTGCTTTTTGGTAAATTTTGATATCAGATAGTTCAATATTTAACATCATTTTTGACTACTTTAGATCCTTTGCATTTCCATATACATTTGAGAATGAAGTTGGAAATTTCTACCTAAAAATCTTGCTGGGATTTTGATGGGGTTTATAATGAATCTAAACATCAGTCTGAGGAAAAGCAACATCCTAAATAACATCATTGAGTTTTCCAGGTCTTGAGTATGGTTTACTTAGCCACTTACTACTGTCTTCTTTAATTTCTCTTAGCAGTATTCTGTAGTATTCAGTGTAGTGGCCTTTTATATCTAAAAAAAGGTTTTTTTCCTGAATCTTTTGTGTTTTTTTAGTGTGCTATTATAAAACAGAATTCTTAAAAATTCCGTTTTCCAATTGTTTACTGCTAGTAAGCAAAAATGTAAGTTTATTTTCATGTTAACTTTATATCTTATAACATTGCTTGATCATTTAGTTCTAATAGTTGTTTTGTAGTTTCCTAAGTATTTTCTGAATAGACAATCTTATTATTTTCCAATAGTTTTATTTCTTCCTTTCTGATCCTTATTCCTTGATTTTCTTGACTTACTGCAATAGCTAGGACCTCCTGTACAATGTTGAATAGAATTGGTAAGAGCAGATATACTTGCATTGTTCTCTATCTTAAGGGGAAATGTATTCAGTCTTCACCATTAAGTTGATGTTATAGGTTTTTCTTAGATGCCCTTTATTAGTTTGAGAAAGTTCCTTTCTATTCCTGGTTGTTGAGAATTTTTATCAATAGATGTTGAATTTAGTAAAAATATTCTTCCTACATCTAATAAAATGATCATATGATTTTTCATTTTTGATCTGTTGATGTACTGAATGACATTGATTTTCACATATTAAACCAACCTTGCATTCCTGGGATAAACTATATTGATGAAGATATTGCTTTCACTTTCCTAGATTTGATTTGCTATTGTTATTAAAGGTTTTACATTTATTTTCATGTACTACATTGGTTTTGTGTACCATGATAAGAATTTTGGTTTTATTTTAAATGTGGTGAGAAACCATTGAAAAATCTTAAGCAGAATAGGTAATTTGATTTAGGAATGAAAAGGGGAAGGTGAAGTAAGTCTTGTGGTAGGTTAATAAAATCAAGCAATTTGATGTAAAATTACTTTTATATGAAGGCATCTTAGTTTCAGTGATCAATTGAAAATTTACATTTGGTTGAAATACATCTCATAGAAAATGATATTCAGGGGGACCTTTTTCAGACTACAAAAGTTTAACCGTAGAGTTTTTTGTACAGTCTAAGGCAACTAATAGTGCCTGGTGTGTCTTTGGGTCTGGGGATCTTATGGAGGTTTTTTAGCCATATTAACATTATAAAATTGGTTTTTCTAAAGGTAATGAACTTATTTTGAATCAGGATAACCTCGGGCAAGAGAGGAAGAGTGTTTGGAAACTTATATTGATATAGATATAAAATGATGGTTGTGGTTTTAGATAACCCCTTTGATTTTTAATTTTTCTGTTAGTTACCTTACTGGTTATGTATGATTAATTTATATTCTTAATCTTGAGTTCTCGTTCTTTATAATCTCACACTTTTTAGATTGCATTTAAACTTCTTACGTATTTTATTCAATATTTATTTTAAAAGTTTTTCTGTTCTACTGCATAAACACAAGACTTTTTTTCCTTTCATATTTTTTAGATTGGGAGTATGCATTTAAAAACAAGGAATTTTCATCAAAGCAAGTTATTTATGAAAAATCATCCAAAGTTGTGATATTGGGAAGAAGCCATCTTAGTTATAGCCTTGACTGCCCACTTTTGAGAGAAGACTGTAAAAGTGGGGACTGGTTTAAGAACCAGCTGGGAAGTCATGAGGTTCATCCTAATCAGTTGATCATCACTCATAGAGAAATCCTCCCTGAAGATCAAAGTAATAAATATACTAAATCTTGGCAAACCTTCCATCGAGATGCAATATTTGCTATAAAACAGAGTTTTCCCACCAAAGAAAGCATACATAAGCAAGAGCCACAAAAGAGAAGTTACCGAAAAAAATCTGTTGAAATGAAACATAAGAAAATCTATGTAGAAAAGAAACTTTTGAAATGTAACGAATGTGAGAAAGTCTTCAACCAGAGTTCATCTCTTACTCTTCATCAGAGAATTCATACTGGGGAGAAACCCTACGCATGTGTTGAATGTGGGAAAACCTTCAGTCAAAGTGCAAACCTAGCGCAACATAAGAGAATACACACTGGGGAGAAACCCTACGAATGTAAAGAATGTAGGAAAGCCTTCAGCCAGAATGCACACCTTGCTCAACATCAGAGAGTTCATACTGGAGAGAAACCTTATCAGTGTAAAGAATGTAAAAAAGCCTTCAGCCAGATTGCACACCTGACTCAACATCAGAGAGTCCATACTGGAGAGAGACCGTTTGAATGTATTGAATGTGGAAAGGCCTTTAGTAATGGTTCATTTCTTGCCCAGCATCAAAGAATTCATACCGGAGAGAAACCTTATGTATGTAATGTGTGTGGGAAAGCCTTTAGCCACCGTGGTTACCTAATTGTACACCAGAGAATCCATACTGGAGAGAGACCTTATGAATGTAAGGAATGTAGGAAAGCCTTCAGCCAGTACGCACACCTTGCTCAACATCAGAGAGTTCATACTGGAGAGAAACCTTATGAATGTAAAGTGTGTAGGAAAGCCTTCAGCCAGATTGCATACCTTGATCAACATCAGAGGGTTCATACTGGAGAGAAACCCTATGAATGTATTGAATGTGGGAAGGCCTTTAGTAATAGTTCATCACTTGCACAACATCAGCGAAGTCATACTGGAGAAAAACCGTATGTGTGTAAGGAATGTAGGAAAACATTTAGCCAGAATGCAGGCCTTGCTCAGCATCAGCGAATTCATACTGGAGAAAAACCTTATGAATGTAACGTTTGTGGGAAAGCCTTTAGCTATAGTGGATCTCTTACTCTACATCAAAGAATTCATACTGGAGAGAGACCCTATGAATGTAAGGACTGCAGGAAATCTTTTAGGCAGCGTGCACACCTGGCTCATCATGAGAGAATTCATACTATGGAGTCGTTCTTGAGTCTTTCCTCTCCCTCACCCTCCATGTCCAGTCAATTGTCAAAACCTGTAGGTTATATCTCCTAAATATGCCTTGAATTTCACTCCTTCAGTCAGTTCCATTCTGTCATCTGCACTCACTACCCAATTATCTATTTGGCATGGATTATGGAAATAGCTTTCTAAATGGTTGTTCTGCATTTATCACTTTGTCAGTTGTCCACATTGCAGACAAACTTGTATTTAAAAAGTTTGATATCACTCCTTCATTAAAACCCCTCAAGTGGCATCCCGTAGTTCTTAGGTTGAAACACACATTCTTCAAAAAAAGCCTAAAAGACTTTCCACTACCTTGTTCCAGTCTATCTTCCTGTCAATATCCGTCTCATTCTTTGGATATTTATCCAGAATTAAGAACTCATTCTGGTATCAAATAGATCTGGGTTTTCATCCTTGCTCTTCCATATTTCTGGCCTCTAATTTTAGGGAAACATTTTGTCTTTTGTAAGCTTCAGTTTTATTTCTATTATAGGAATAATAATGGTACTACCTCAAAAGTTAATGGGAGCATTGAATGAGCTAATGCATGTAAATTGCTCAGCAGAGTGCCTAGCATAAAGTAATCACTCAAACATTTAATGCAAAATAAAGATACTGTGGTACACAAAGGAGACCTGGTCATCTCAGCATTGACCAGCTGCAAAATAACAAAAGCAGCAGGTCAAGACTCCAGCGGCTGTAAATGTTTTTAGTCAGAAACAATAATCATTGTACTAAACGTGAGTGACAAGGGTATCTAATACAGGACTGATATATTAGAGTCCATGATAATGTAGAGTAAAACAATGGCTTCTATTTCAGCATGAACATATAGAAATATGACTTTGTCGCTAAGGAAAACTAACCTCATTAGATATTCAATGGTTCTAAGCAGCCAAATTTTTTAAATTGCTGATAAGTAGAAGTGGCAGAGATGTATTCATTTACATTCAAAATAAATTTAATTAAAAGTAATAATAAAAAAAAAAACACTTGAAAAAATCAATAACCAAAAAAGACTAGAAAAGTGTAAGTTTGACCCCTGCTCCTAATTCCAGGTAGGTGAATTTTATTAGATCTGTGTCATTTAAAATAGAAAAAGCTGTTAGACTTCTAAGCTGTAGTTCTAAAACTAGAGGGGAAAAGAAACCAAAACTTGTTAAGTCAGTACTCATAAACTGGCTGCCCATAACATGTTTGATTTGGTATGCAAAGTGAATCTGAGTCTTTTTAGGTGGGCCTGTGTTTTCCAGTTCTCTACAGTTTAAACCACTTCCTGTTCCTGTACATCTGACTTATTTTACACTTTATATTATTTCCTGATGGCTTGGAGTACTCAATCAATGCAGTAACCAACTCACATATGAGTACAAGTACAAAGAAAATGATGAAAGTTTAATGGATGATGAAAAAACATTTGAATACGCATTTAACCTTCTGTAAGTGAAAACTTGGTATTATACAGATGTTAGTAGGCACATAACAAAGTCCTAAGACTTAAGGCTCAAAAGATTGTGTGTAAACATACACATATACATTCATAAAAGAGATATACACAAAGAAAATACAAAATAAAATTGATATCTCATGCCAGCGGCTTAACAGTATTGATAAAATTGACTTCTGTACAAAAACAATCCCCTCATTCTTATCCAAATGTGAAACGGAATGATTAGAGTACATTGTAACATACCTTATAATTATGGAGTTGTGAACAGCCTTCCTAAACATGACAAGCTCCAGAAGCCACATACATAAAGATTCCAGGTTTGATTGTGTAAGAACTTTATTAAGCTTTTATATAGTCAAAGATAGTGTAAACAAAGGTTTTTAAACATCAGAATTAGAGAAAATCATTACAACATATATAACCTATGAAATCAATGTCCTTGACATAGAAGTGCTCCTACAAACCACTTAGAAAAGAACACTTCTCCCCTTATGGGCAAAGGGTATGAAGAGGCAACTGGTGACTGGTGAACGTGTGTGAGTACTAAATTTCACTAGCATCAGAAGAAGTACAAGTTAAACCAATGAATTATCCATTTTCCAGTGTCAGACTAGTAAAATTTACATTGTGAAAGCACACGAAAGGAGATATTTCTGTGTGCTGATGTGAGAGTATGGATTTGTACAACCTTTTCAAGGCAACTTGTATCAGAATTTTCATTGGGAAAACCAAGATTTTCTTTTGCAGTTAACAAACTGCACACAAGTATACCTTCCTTTCATATCCCAGTAAACAGATAAAACAATGTAATAGGTACCAAATGAAAAGAGAGGGTCGTCAGTGGATAAAAGAGCTAAATTTTGTGAAAAGACGAGGGAGAAGAGTGTTCATTCATGAAATGTAGCACAGGAAGCTGCTACCCAAAATGTTGGCATACTAGGAAATGCAGTCATGGGAGCCCATTTGGCCAGAGGATCCCTAGACAGGATCAGGCATCGAGCTGGCTTGTAGAGGCTAATGTACTAAGGATACAAGATGACAGGATTGTTATATGCATTTCTATGTGGAAATTATGTTAGTACCCCCTGCCAACAGCCTCCCCACTCCACCCCCTCTCCTGTAAGTAAACTGAATGGGTTCCTTACTGCACACCATGCACAAAAATGACTTCCAGTAGAAAATCCTAAATGTAAATAAGTAGAAGTATTAGAAGAAAATATAGGATGTGTTTACGACTTTGATGTTGGACATATCTTTCTGAAACAATAACGAAAGCCATAAAAGATTAATGAGGATATCAAAAATTAGCATGCTTTTAAAACAAAAGATAGCAAAAGAAGAAAATATTTGTAATACATAGGAAGAGATGTGAAAATACCTTTAAATCAATAAGGACAACTAAACAACATAAAAATGGACAAAGAAGGAATACATATGGCTTGTAAACATGGTCCCTGTTTAACCTTGCTCTTATTTAGAGATGCATATTTAAATAATATAACATCAAAACTTGGCAGTGGTGTGGAAAAATGAGTATTCTCATCATTGCCACTTGGGAGGCAATGAATTTTTAAAAATATTCACTACAGCCCCTTTGGAGGGCAGTGTGGTTAGTATGTGAAACACTGGGAACAATCTAAACTTCCATTATAAAGGCAAGATGAGAAACACTACCATCAGTTAAAAACAATAGACTGAATATTTATATGGACTTGACAAAAATATGTTTATTGAAAGGGCAAATCTCGCAGAATAATACAGTATTATATATTTCTGATAAGTATGCAAATGTTTAGGAAAAGTTCTGAACAGACACATCTGACTGATAACTGTTTCTTCTGGGATATTCTGCTCAAGAAGGGATTTAGTATTTATCAGTCATATTTCAAGTTTTAAACAGGAATGTAATAATATATTCTTCCCCCGTGTAGTGCTTGACAGGTGCTAGAGTAATCAGGGAGGTCAATTCATGGATTGTATAAGTGTCTAACTTTAAAATTTTAAATAAGAAAAAAATGAAATAATTATGGAGAACTGGGGCAATGAGAGCGAGAGTTGGCGGCCTGAGGTGAAACCTTTTCGGAGTTTGGAGAATCAATCATTGACTCACCAGCCCTTCCCATGCACATGGAGATCCCCGTAACCCTTGCCACTTAGGGAAACAGATCTACAGTGAGAATTTCCAAGAACCCCCACCATATAGTTAGGATAATCAAACCATATCGTTCTTTTTTTCTTTCAAACTATATCATTCTTTTTTCCCTCGCACCATATTCTTAAACGTGAACAGACAACTAAGGATTATCACAAGTGAAGAAAACTCTCAGCATAATAAGGACTAAGAGATAGGACTAGCCCGAGTGGGGCACATTACATAATAAGAGAAGTAACATTTATGTTAGTCTGAGATTTGAAAAGATGGTTGCGGTTGTTAAATACGGGAAGCTATAAAAAGTTATTTAAATAAGAACTCAGAATGAAAAAAATATTGTTGCAATAAACTTAATAGGTTTGAAAGAAAACTAAGGGAGCTCATCAAGTACAGACATTAAAAAGACAGAAAATGAGAAGGAAAAAGGAACATGGAAGTTGAGAAGGTCCAACATCTAAAAAAAAAGCGACAGAAAAAATCAGGGAAATTATGAGGGAAATAGCAAGTAAATAATTATGAATCTAAACTGAGGAAAGGTGTGAATGCAACTTGAAATAGCTTATTGAATGTTGGACAGGCTGAATTGGCAAACACCACAACTATAAGAAAAAAACAAGACATCCAGAAATATGCTTGTGAAATTTGAGACTATAGATGAGACCATTCTAAAAGCTTCCCCAAAATGTAAATGTTCCCTAAAAAGAACAATCAAGCTAGCCTTGGCCTTCCCTCCCATAAGCAATATTAGATATGAGAATACAGAATAGCCCTTCCAAGTTATGAAGTAAAATCACTTTGAATTTAGAAGTCTATACCAAAACAATAATTAAAACATCCGGACAGATATTGAAAGTCCATATATGCAGTTCTCTTCAGTTTACTCCCACATGTCCTTTATTAAGGTATTGAAAGATTAGCTTTAGCAAAATGTGGATGCAAAAGGAAGGTGATGGGAAAGGCTTCAATAAACAGTGGATGTAACCCAGGAGAATGACATTGAGAATAACTAGAATGACCACCCTGCAACAACCCATCCAAATTACTGGGAAGCTAGGAGACCACGGAGACAGTGAAGAAAATAAATCTTCAGGAAGAATTGATGGGTGATGTTAAGTAGAATAGTAAGAAGTTGGAGGATTTAACCAATATGGTGATCAAACTGTTCTTAGGAAGAAGGAGAGAAAGGCAATTATTTACTTCTGGTGAAGATGGGATTCTAGGGAATAGTTTACCCTCCCACCTGAAATGCTAAAAAAAGGGACAAAATATATGAAAACTTAGTGTTCAAGATACTGGATATCAGGCAATGAAACAGAGATCTCTGGTAAATGAGAAACATATGAGGCGAATACGGTGCTGTGACTTCCCCAGGTACTGCCTGGACAATTTCCAGTCTGAGTGGAGGAGACGGAGCTGGGAGTCAAGAAGACTGAGGTGGCTTGAGGTCACACGGTAAAGTGCCTGAGAGTGCTGAAAGAAGAAACAACCCAGACATATGCAGAATTTTTACCTTAGTAAAAACTCTAGTTTTTACCTGAATACTGATGAGAACAGGCATGTGAGGAAATGATCTGAAGCTGGGGAAAGAAATGATAGAAGGATAAGACAATAAGACAAATTCACAATAAGAGATCTCAACATGCATCTCTTAACAGAACAAGAAGACAGAAAATTTACTTGTAAGTGAAGATGTTGAAGATGTAAACACCATCAGCCACCTTGATTTAATTGACATGTAAACACCACTCCACCCAAGAACAGTAGAATATACATTCTTTTCAAATGTGCCCAGAACATTTACCAAGATCAACCATACTCCAGGCCTTAAAACATTTAAAAGGGTTCAAGTCATACAAAATATGGTTTGTGACTAGAATGGATTAAATTAGAAATCAACAACAGAAAGATAATTGGAAAATCCCCAAATATTTGGATCTAAATAGCCCAATTTTTAGTAACCCATGGGTCAAAAGAGAAACCAAGAGAGAAAATAGAAAGTATATGAATTGAATGAAACACAGAACATAGCATATCAAAATGTGTAACTGTACTCAGAAGAAAACATAATAGCACTAAATGCCTAAGTTATAACAGAAATCTCTCAAAACAATGACTTCGATCCGCACTTTAACAAATTAGAAAATGAAGAGCAATGAGACCCTTAGTTAGCTTAAGGATAGAAATAATAAATATAAGAATAAAAATCTATCTTGGATTTTTTATGCTGATTTGATAGAACTGACATGACAAGTTTAAATGAAAAATTCATCGTTCTATTATCCTGCACACGTGACCACCCTCCACAAATCTGGTGGTGGTTTTCTCAGTTCTGGTCAAAGTTACAGTGACAGAACCCATGTGGTCATACATCCAAAGTTGTCAAAACAAGATATGAGTGTTTAAGAAAAAATAGCTTTTGCAGAAGGAAACTTATAAGTAAGAGTCCAGTTGTATACAACCCCTTTACAAAAACGAACTCTGATTTTATTACTTATGTATTTTGCACAAGCTGGAAACAGAGACTGAAAGCTATCATGGTGAATAGCTTATAGGAGAAGAGCCTAGTACTTAATAAATCCAGGGGTTTCCCATGTATTAGTCAGCTTGGGCCACCATAACAAAATATCAGAGACTGGGTGAATTCAACAAAAAAAACATGTCTCATAGTTCTGGAAGCTGAAAGTCTGATAGCAAGGTGGCAGCATGGCTGGATACTGGTGAGGGCTAGCTTCCTGGCTTGTAGACAGCTGCCTTCTTGCTGTACCTTGACATGGCAGAGAGAGAGCGAATCTTTCAGGCACTGATTTCATCATGATAGCCCCACCCTCATAACCTCAGCTAACCCTAATTACTTCTCAGGGGCCCCATTTCCACATTGGGGGTTAGGGCTTCAACAGTAATTTGGGGAGAACACATTCAGTCCATGAGACCCCATTCTCCACCAATTACTTATTACACACCAGTGTTCTTACATGAAAATATCAATATTTATTCATATAAATATATTTTCAAATAAAACAACAACAAATAATTTCTCCCTGCTCTAAAGTTCCTTGTTCTTCAATACATCCTATTTTTTCCTCCCATTATCCTGTCAGGCTTGTTAGATTTTTCACATCACAAAGGTCACATATCTTCATTATATATGAAAACATATCTATGATACTGTCCCTTTGCTCCACATAATCCACTTAAAGATTCACTCTCCTTTATTGTTACCCACAAATTTTTGGCAGCCAGGAGTGGCACCTTTACCTTTGAGGAAGTCCCTTATATCCAATAGTTCTAAAGGACAAACTCAAACTTTCTTCATGTGATGTTAAATCAGGCTCAAAGCCCCATCCACAAAAAAACACTTTAGAATTATACTTTATTGTAAGCAACCAATGAAATAGCTTTAAAACTGCATTGGAAATAAAATATCAGTGATTCTTATGAAGAATGGTCTTCATTTAAAACAACTGATCCAATCATCTGAACTTTATTAAGACCTATGATAAGGTCACCACCTCAGTTAATTTCAAATTCTCAAGTCAAAAGTCACCAAGGACTTTTGCTCTTTGGCTTTCAAAGAGGGACACATCATCAAATGGTCCCATTTTTACAAAATGTATGTTAGAGACAAATGCCTTTTTCCCATGCCTCTGTCTCTACTTCGATGCTTCAGTCTTTGCTTTTATAACAACTTTAGGCTTTTTCTTCGGAATGTGTATTCTGATGTCGAATCAGGGATGAGCTCCGACTATATGCCTTCCCACATTTACTACATTCATATGGTTTCTCTGAAGAATGGCTTCTCTGGTGCCGGATAAGATCCGACCCACTGCTAAATGCCTTCCCACACTCGTTACATTCATAGGGTTTCTCTCCAGTATGACTTCTTTCATGTAGAATAAGGGATGTGCGTTGACTGAAGGCCTTCCCACATGTTTTGCATGTATATGGTCTCTCTCCAGTGTGAATTCTTTCATGTTGGGCAAGGTGTGCACTCTGACTGAAAGCCTTCCCACACTGATCACATTCATATGGTCTGTCTTCAGTATGAATTCTCTTATGTCGAGTAAGAGATATTCGATGACTGAAGGCTTTCCCACATTCCTCACACTGATAGGGTTTTTCTCCAGTATGAATTCTCTGATGCTCAATAAGAAATGACTGGCGGCCAAAAACTTTACCACATTTATTGCATTTGAAAGGTTTCTCTTCAGAATGAATGTTCTGATGTATTTTAAGGTTGGCAGTTCCAGAAAACATCTTCCCACACTCCTTACATTCAAACAGTTTCTTTTTCTTTGTATGAACTTTCTGATGTTGAAGAAGGGATGAATGCCGATTACAGACCTTCTCACATTTATTGCATCTGTACAGATTCTCTCCACTGTGAATTCTCACATGCAGAATAAGGGCTGAAAGCCGCCTGAAGACCTTCTCACATTTATCACATTTATTGAGTTTCTTGGAAGTGTGAATTCTCTGATGAAGAATAATAGATGAAATCTTATTAAAGGATTTCCCACATTTTCTGCATTTATAAGGATTCTCTAAATGGTTCTTTTTCTGCTGACTTAAGGCCTTCTGACTTTCATGGGTTTTCTCTCCAATATGAATTCTCTTATGTATGACAAGGACTGATTTCTTACTGAAGCCTCTCCCACGTTTACTGCATTCATGTACTTTTTTTCTATTGTGAATTTTCTTATGAACTAAAAGGGATGATATTCGAGTGAAGGCTTTCCCACATTTTCTGCACTGGTGGGCATTCTCAACAAGGTGAATTTTCTGATGTATTTTGGGAGATGAGTTCTGACATAAGGCCTTCTCACAGTCAAAGGTTTCCTTTCCATTATGAATTTTCTCATGTAGAATAAGGGTTGTTCTTTGAATGAAGCTTTCTCCACATTTATCACATTTATGGTTTTTCCTTCCATTGTGAATTCTCTGATGAAGAATGAGCGATGAGACTTGTATGAAAGCTTTTCTACAATTACTACACTCATAAGGCTTCTCTTCAGTATGAGAGCTCTGATGAAGTTTAAGAGATAACCTCTGACTAAAGATTTTCCCACAGTCATTACATTTAAAAGGTTTCTTTCCTGAATGTACTTTCTTGGGTTTTATTAGGACTGAATTTTTTTTGCGGCTTCTTTTTCCTGTGGGACCTTTTTGTGGGGCAGAAACTGTTTTCTGATAGATGCTTTGCCCAGATTTTTTGCAATGATTTGGAGGTAATTTCTTCATCTCGCATTTAGCCCCTGAGTCTGAAATACATCAACAAATTAAATACTTGTTTTCTTATTTAAAAAATTTTTTGTCATTTAAGAATCTAAGTTGAACTGACACACAAAATTTCCTAGGACATCAAACTTTACCACAAGAATTACTCCTTTTTATAAGTTGGATATCTGGAAGTTGAGCATCAAAATAGAAAGTTTTGTTTCTGGGAGAAAGGATTGCCAATAATAATATTTTGCTTCATTATGACTTTTGTCATTTTCTAAAATGAGCATGTTCCTTATGAACATAACATTAATAGTAATTTTAAATGATTAAAGTAGCTCTTTGAAATGCTAAAAAAAGTAGTAAAATTTGAAAATCATTAAAAGAGAACTTTAAAACCTTGAACCTCTTTGATATTTTCCCACAATTTATGTGAAGAAAAATTAATACTGTGAAAGTTGGATTTCATTAGGCTGATTAAATTTGAGGCTTTTAACTAAATACTCATTTTTGTAAGAACCACTGGGAACTCTCTTTAGAAGACAAAAACCACTAACCTAGAACTCAGTATCCTGTGAAAATATGCTTCAAAAGTGAAAGAGAAATAAAAACTTTCTCAGACAAACAAATATCAAGAGAATCTATTGCCAGTACACCTATCTTAACAAGAAATATTAAAAGAGGTGCTTTAGAAAAAAGGAAGATAATACAGATCAGGAATTTGGATCTACATAGAGAAAGTAAGAGCACTGAAGAAGGAATAAATGAAGAAAAAAAAACTTTTTTCCCCCTTATTCTTAACTGATCTAACAGATAGTATTTGTTCCAAATAATAGCAACATTGTATTCGATTATATAATTCATGTATTCAACTTATGTGTGTTTGTGTGTGTATATAGATACATATACATACATACATATTTAAGTCTGCTTATATATAAATGAAGTGAATGACAGCAATGATATTTGGGCTAGAAGGACAGAATTAGCATTATTTTGTTATTATAAGGTACTCATACCACCCATAAAGTGGTATAGTATTATTTGAAAGTGGACTTAGATTAGTTGTAAATGTGTATTGTATATTGTTATAAACTTTAGGGCACCTACTAAAAAAAGTTTTTTTAAAAAAGTATAACTGATATGCTAAGAAAGACAGAAAAAGGAATAATGTGAAATGCTCATTTAAAACCAGAAAAGGCAGAAAAAGAGTGGAAGACAAAAACAGGATAAATACAACAAAGAATAAAGGCAACAAACATAAAACAGTAACAAATATGATTACTAAATATTCATTTCTGACATTATATATCTACTATATCACTGTGAATGTGAATGGTCTAAATTCACCAATTAAAATAAACCATCAAAGTGGATCAAAAAATATGACCCAACCATACACTGTCTGAAAGAAACCCACTTTAGATATAAAGGCACACAGAGATTAAAAGTAAATGGATGGAGAAAAATATACCATGCTAACACTAATCAAAAGAAAGCAGTAGCAGCTATATTAATTTCGGACAGAGCAGACTTAAAAACAAGGAAAGTTATCATGGATAAAGAGGTGTATTACATAATGATAAAGAAGGCAATTCTTCAGAAGACATAACAATTCATAATGTGTATGTGTCTAACAACAGAGTGTCAAACAAAATGAGACAAAAACTGATAGAACCTCAAGAACTAGATGAATCTAGGATCGCAGTTGGAGACTTCAATGCCTCTCTCTCAGAAATCAACAAATTCAGTAGGCAGAAAATCAGTAAGGACATAGTGGAACTCAATGACATCATCATTCAACTGGATCTACTTCACATCTACAGACTAATTCATCCAACAACAGCAGAATTCACATTATTCTCAAGCTCACATGAAACGTTCACCAAGATAGAGCACATTCTGGGCCATAAAACACACCTTAATGAATTTAAAAGAACAGAAATCATACAATGCCTGCTCTCAGACTGCAATGGAACTGAACCGGAAATCAGTAACAGAAAGATAACTGGAAATCCTCAAATACTTGGAGATTAAACAACACACATCTAATTAACACACAGCTGAAAAAAGAAATCTCAAGAAGAGTTTTAAAATATTTTGAACTAAATGAAAATAAAACACAATTTATCAAAATGTGTAGGATGCTGCAAAAGGTGTGCTTAGAGGGAAATATACTGCATTGAAAACGTATATTAGAAGAGAACAAAGATCTAAAATCATTAAACTATGATTCTCTCTTAGAAAAGTGAAAAAAAGAAGAGCAAATTAAATCCAAAGTAAGCAGAATAAATACAGTTGATCCTTGAACAACACGGGTTTGAGTTCTGTGGGTCCACTTACACATAGATTTTTTTCAATAAATACATGGTTGGGTCTCTATATCCTTGGGTTTTGCATCCATGGATTCAACCAACCTCAGATCAAAAACCTTATTTGTGATCTGTGATTGGGAACCTGCAGATGTGGAGGGCCAAATTAAGTTACATGCAGATTTTTGATATGCAGGGCTCGACACCCCTAACCCCAACATTGTTCAAGGGTTAATTGTATTAGCAAACTGAATTCAACAGCATATTAAAGTCATCACATTCGTGAACAAGTGGGATTCATACCTGGACTGCAAGAGTAGTTCGATATGTGAAAATCAATCAGTGTAATATATCACACTAACAAAATGAAGTACAAAAGCCACATGATTATCTCAACTGATACAGAAAAAAGCTTTTGACAAAATTCAACACCCTTTCATGATCAAAACACTCAACAAACTAGGACTAGAAGGAAATTACCCCAATATAATAAAAACCATAATCAAAAAGCCCACAGCAAACATCACAGTAAATGGGGAAAGACTGAACCCTTTTCCTCTAAGATCAGGAACAAGGCAAGAATGCCTACTCTCACCACCACTATTCTACATAGTATTGGAAGTCCTAGCCAGAGCAGTTAGGCAAGGAGAAAAAAAAAAAAAACAACCATAAAAAAAAAAGGAAAGTCAAATTCTCTCTGTTAACAGATGGCATGACCTTATATGTAGAAAACCCTAAAGATTCCACACAGAAAAACTGTTAGAACCAATAAACGCACTCAGTAATGTGGTAGAATACAAAATCAACACAAAGATCGGTTACATTTCTATACACTAACAAGATCCGTGTCAGAAAGGAAATTGAGAAAACAATCCCATTTACTATAGTAGCAGAAAGAATAAAATATTTAGGAATAAATATAACCAAAGAGGTGAAGGACTTTACACTGAAAACTACATAACACTGCTAAAAGAAATCAAAGAAGATACAACTAAATGAAAAGACATCCTGTACTTTTCGATTTGAAGACTTAATATTGTAAAATTGATTAAATGGTCAAAGTGATCTACAGATTCAATGCAATCCTCATCAAAATCCCAATGACATTTTTTGCAGAAATAGAAAAAAGGCTCAAGAGACTAAACAGACAAAAAAATCTTGAAAAAGAGGAACAAGGCTGGAGGCCTCACGCTTCCTGATTTCAAAACATATTACAACACAACAGTAATCAGGTGGTGTGGTGCTGGCACAAAGATAGATACGGAGACCTATAAAATAGAATACAAGGCCCAGAAATAAACCTTTGTGTATCTGGTCAAATGAGTTTCAACAAGAGTGCCAAGACCATACAATGGGAAAAAGATAGTCTCTTCCACAAAGGGTGTTGGGAAAACTGTATATCTAATCCAAAAAAATAAAGTAGAACACTTACCTTCTACCATGTACAAAAACTAACTCAAAATAGATTAAAGAGCTAAACATAACACCTAAAACTATTAAACCCCTAGAGGAAACATAGAAAAGCTCCAGGACATTGGATTCAGTACTGATTTCTTAGCTATGACACCAAAAGTACAGGCATCGGAATAAAAAATTGACAAATAGGACTACATCAAACTATACTTCTGCACGCCAAAAGAAACAATCAACAGAATGAAAAGGCAACCTGCAGAATGGGAAAAAATAATTGCAAAACATATCTGATAAGGGGTTAACATGCAGACTTCATAAGGAAATCCTACAATTCAACAACAAAAGACAAATAACCCTATTAAAAAATGGGCAAGGGGACTTAAAAAGACATTTCTGCCAAGATAGACAAATGGCCAATAAACACATGAAAAGATGCTCAGCATCACTAATCGTTAGAGAAATGCGTTATCAAACACATATTATCACCTCACACCCATGAGGATGGCCACTATCAAAAAAACAGAAAATAAGAAAATAACAACTGTTAGTGAGGATATAAGCAGAAGCTGAAACTCTTGTGCACTATTGGCAGAAATGAAAAATGGTGCAGCCATTGTGGAAAATAGTATGGAGATTCCTCAGAAAATTAAAACTAGAACTACTATATGATCCAGTGATTCCACTTCTGGGTATTTATCCAAAGAAATTGAAATCAGGATCTCGAAGAGATATCTGCACTCACACATTCACTGCAGCATTATTCACAGCAGCAAAGAGGGGGAAGCAACTCACATATCCACCAACAGATGAATGGATAAAGAAAATGTAGTACGGTCATCCCTCAGGGGATTGGTTCCAGGACCTCCAATGGACACCCAAATTCATGGATGCTCAAGCCCCTTATATAAAATGACAAAGTATCTGCATATAGCCTACACGCATCCTCCCATGTACTTTAAATTGTCTCTAGATTTCTTATTATACCTTATACAATTTAAATGCTATGTAAATAGTTGTCATACTGTATTTTTTAGGGAATAATGAATGACAAGGAAAAAAGTCTGTACATGTTTAGTACAAATGCAACCACTGTAGGCCTAAGTACATGGTATACATCAGCAACAACATTAATATGTTTTTTTCAAATATATTTTCAATCTGAGGTTGGTTGAATTCACGAACATGGAAGAGAATATGGAGGCCCAACTGCATATACACATGATGGAATATTATGCAGCCTCTGAAAAGGAAATCCTGTCACATGCTGCAACATGGATGAACTTCAAGCTAAGTGAAAAAAGCCAGTCAGAAACAGTCAAGTACTATATGATTCTATTATTATGACATATCCACGGTTGTCAAAATCATAGAAACAGAGAGCAGAGAGGAAGTTCTCAAGGGCCAGGGGATAATTAGTAGTTAAAGGGTACAGAGTTTCAGTATTGCAGGATGAAAAAGTTTTGGAGATCTGTTGCATAACAGTGTGAACAAACTTAACTGTACATTTAAAAACGATTAAAATGGTATATTTAATTTTATACTTTTTTTACAATTAAAAAAAAAAACTCGTAAAACTATAAAGAAAACATAGTATGACCAACCAAAGAGGAATCCATTGGAGAAGGGAATAAGTTTTTGAAAACTCATCAAGATGAATGGCTATGGGAGATTTTAATTTTTTTTAATGAGTAAAGAAAGTGATGCACGTTTGGACATTGTCACCAGATGTGCTTTCATTAAAAGCAGAACACACTTTCTCGGAAAGAAAATACAAATGCCAAAGCAGGGAAAGTGATGGGGAGATGAGGGTGTTATGGTCTGAGCTTCTGAGACCAAAAGCTGGGGTTCCAGCCCACCTCTGCAGTCACTACTTAGCTGGGTGACCCTGTACAGGTCACCATAACTCTCTGACCTATTTCTCATTTATAAAATAGGAGTAACAGCACCTGCCTTCCAGCATTGCTGGGAGGAACCAGCACTCACCCTCATAAGGGCTTACTGAATAGTGCTTCTCCTCTCTCTAAGAAAGGTGGGTGACACTAAGGAGACTAGAATTTACTGCACAGGCCTAGGGGCCTCTTAGGCGGGCAAGTGGTCCTCAAACATTATCCTAACGAGGCTGTCCTCTACAGTCGAACGCACGACAGGAAAGTCCTGTACACGGGGAACACATGGGACCTAAACACACTGTGGTCATGACATCAGAGGTGGGCCCTGCAGCTCTATCAGTGGAGGTATCAGCCCGGAAAGGTGTAGAAGATACAGAGGGCCCCTCGGGAATGAGGGGCGTGAGGACGCTCACAGCCAACAGTATTTCATTTCTGATCTGCAGAGCCAACCACCTTCCTGAAAGGTTGAGCCACAAACTCCTGAGGCTAATTAGTAAGCCATCGCCTCTGGCTCCAAGCGCACCCTCCCCTTTTTGGTTTTGGGTGCAGGGCATTTCTCCTTCGCCAGCTGCCCCTCGAGGATCCTCAACAGGGGCTCTGGTGGTTTCAATTTCTACTTGTCTTTTTCTCCTCCACTCCCAGAACAAGCGTCCTCCTGCTCCCTCAGGAGTAGAACCCAGGCAGGGTACTCTGTCCTCCTTCAGATCTCTGTGTCTTTTCCTCTAAGTCCTCAAAACCCAATCTCTTCCCTGGCCCTCGGATGGAGGCCATGTCCTGTAGTTACCATCTCTGTGTCACCTCAGTGTCTGCTTTTGGCTTCTTAACAGTACTGTTAAGTCAGTTCCTTGTATTAAACTCTCAAAACAACCAGGGTGTCCTCGGAAGGTTACATATATTGTTTCCATATGACCAGCAATTCTGCTCCTAGATCCACACCCAAGAGAAATAAAAATATGCGTTCACGCAAAATTTGTACAAGAATGTTCACAGCGGCATATTCCTAATAGCTGTAGAGTGGAAGAAGCCCACCTGCCCAACAACGGATGGAACGACAAACAAGATGTGGACCATACAGACAATGGAGCATTACTTGGCCATGAAAAGGAATGAGGCACCGATACACGCTACAGTGTGGATGAACCCCGAAAGCATTATGCTCAGAGAGAAGCCAGACACAAAGGAGCACATATTCATGATTGCACTTCTATGAAAGGCCAACAGGCAAATTCATAGAGACAGAAAGGGGACTGGTGTTGGCCCGATCTGGGGGTGTACTGGGCAGGGGGAACAAAGAATGACTGCTAAATGGTATGGGGTTTCAGCCAAGGGTAATAAAAATGTTCTAAAACTCATGACAGTCATGGATGTATAATTCTGTCAAGAAAATGACCATCTCTGAACTGTATACTTTATATGGTGAATTGTATAGTATGTGAAGTACATTTTAATAAACTGTTTAAAAAAAAAAAAGAAACCCAAATGAGAGTGGTTTGTTTTCCTGACCAGAACGATTGCACGTGCCCCTTGAAGGGCCACTTGTGCATTCTAGGGGAGGGGGCGGGAGCACTTACCGACAGACACCAGGTTCTGGTAGGTCTCCAACATGACATCTTCATACAAGTCCTTCTGTATGGGGCTCAGCCCTTCCCACTCCTCCTGGGAGAAGTAGACAGCCAAATCTGCAAATGTCACTGACGCCTGAAATGGAAAATCACAAGCCCTCTCATGGGAGGCTCGTGCTTCCACATGCCTGGAGAAGACAGTGGACTGTCCCACACAGGGGATGGGGTACATGGTCAGGAAACACTTGGGGTTCCGAGGCCAAAGGGTCAAGTGTGTTAACAGAAATCAAACAGCATATGACATAACCGTTAGTCAAGATTGCTTGCAAAAAAAGCCTGTCAACTTGGACTTACCAGGCACCAACAAAGTTAGGTGTTTTTCTAAGCACCTACATACACTGGCTCACTTAGTGCTCGTGTGAGCCTGTGACCGGGGACTACTGAGAAAATCACTGCGATGTCCCAGATGAGGACAGTGGGGCCCCAACATGAGGTGATTTACTGAAGCCCTTACAGCTAGTCCACATAGGGGTCAGGGTCCAATCTGGACAGTCTGCTTCTGACTCATGCTCCTGACCACCTGCTTTCTAAAAAGTACATGACTACGTTACACATGGCAAAGGATTCTTTGCAGATGGGACCAGGTGACCTTAAAATAGGGAGATTACCCTGGATTGTCTAGGGGGGCCTGATGGACTCACAGGAAACTGTAAGAGAAGGGACTTTTCTACAGCAGTGACAGGAGGAGAGAAAGAGAAGTCAGGGAGATTCAAGAATGCGCTGGGTTGCACCTGCTATCGCCAGTATGAAGGTGGAAGAAGGGGCCACATGGAAGCGGGAAAAGAAACCAAACCCTGCCAACAACTAGTGAGTTTAGGAGAGGACCCGGGGCTCAGGAGACCACAGATGGCCAGCATCTTGATTTCAGCCTTGAGACCCAAAGCAGAGGCCCCAGCTAGGGCACTAACTGGGTGTTGAGTAAGTGTGTGCTGTTTTGATCTGCCAAGTGTATGGTAATGTTATAGCAGTGACAGGGAACAAATACACATAAGTCAAGGGTGAAGCTGTTTGTTCTAAGAAATGGCATTAAAGATGCCTATGTCTAAAGCAGTGCAGCCTGCCTATCAAAGGGGCGGCCCTTACCACCTAGCGGGCCTGGCTCCAATGAACAGCACCTGAACAGGGGCTGTGTGGAGTGTTTTAAAGTCAGAGAGACTTCCCCGTCATAAACATGGGTTGGACAAGTAGAAACAAAGTGATGTCAAGAGGTTGGCTCTGGAGCACAAAATGGAACCTCCTCTGCGTCTGCAGGCCCCACCAGGGCACTTGTCTCCACCCTGAGAAACCACAGTGGCTGTCACCTTCCCCCTGGGGAGGGCATTTCTTCCAGTACTGGCAGAGGCCTTCAAGGTGCTCGGCCCACAGCTGAATGGTCATGTGCACACTGAGAAAAAGGAGGGGGCCACAGGGCAGCTACCTGGGTTGTGGGGGCTGTCACGTTCCCCTTGTGGTAACAGGAGGAACCTGGGGACCAGGTCTTGGTTGGGTCTCTGCTGGGCAGGAAGTGTACATGGAAGAAAAGCAAATGGTCCACGTCTTCCAGAATGGAATGTTCACGAAGGAAGAGGAATAGCTGTTTACCTTGGATTTGGGCTTCCCTCGTACAGCAGGCATCCTCTGCTCCCTGATGAGGGTCCGCATCTGGGGGCGGCAGCACGCTGTGGCAGGGGTACTGTGGGACAAGGGAAGTCGGGAGGCTCGGTGGGCCTTCTGGGTAGTCATCGAGTCTCAGGGTAAGAAATTCATAGCCCCTCACCCTGGACATACATATGCACATGGAGGGAGAAGAGAATGTCTTCTGGAACATTTCTGCCCTTTTCAGGGTCAGAGGCAGGCCACAACCAATGCTAACTGCTCCTAAGATCTCAGAAGGTGCTCGATCAGGAGGCCAATATGACGTGACAGACACCTGATAGTCCATCTGATAAGTATACACTGAGCACTCACCGAGTGCAGGCACTGTCCTAGGTGCTGGGGGGGAGCAGTGAGTGTGCACAGAAAAGGACCTGCTCCTGCACACCTGACATTCCAGCAGGGAGGACAAGTCCACATAAACAGTGTCGGCTGAGGTCACTGCTATGAAGGATAAAAGGACCAGGCAGGAGCTAGAGTTGACAGGGTTGTGTGGTGGCGGGGTCGTGGGGTAGCCTCTCAAAGGTCTGAATGTGTGCTGAGGTCTGAATGTGTACGAGTGTTAGCCACATGGGCGCTGGTGGAAGAGCATTCTGAAGAAAGGTACAACAGGTGCAAAGGCCCTGTGACAGGCGTGTGCTTGGCATGTGGAAGGCAAGGAGAAGCTGGTGTGCTGCAGCAAAGAGAGTGAGGTAGGGAGTGGTAGGCCAGGAGGGGCTGGAGCCAGGAAGGCCAGACCATTAAGGGGGTGGTGAGTGGTTTGGAACTTCCCCCAAGTGTGGTAAGACATCACTAAAGGAGAGCCGAAAAGGGGACTCACAGATAAGTATGTAGAAATCCAGCAGAGAAGCGCTGGTGGTGCACTGGGGTGGGAGCAGGGGAAGGGGCAAGATGTCCCACATACATTCTAAAGAGACTCCAAGGAGACTTTCTTCCCTACAGCTGTACCATCCAACATGTGTGCCACTAGCCACATGTCACAAGTGCGTTCTGGAAATAAGGCTAGTGCAACTGAGGAACTGGGTGTTTTATATTAATTGATTAAAACCTTAATGAGTAATAAATATTAAAATTAATTAAAATTTACTATCAATCTAAAATTAAAAACTGATCTTCAATTCAATTACTGTAAAACTCTTAAGGTCTGTCTGGCACAGCTTGGGTGTGTGAATCTACTTCTCCTATGACATGTTTTATGAAATTTAAATGTAGAAAGAGTAACTCCAATAAAAATTAAGTGTCTGGATTGAGGTGCACTGTACTTGTAAAACACATACTGGCAGTATGAAAAAACACATAAAGACAATATGAAAAAAAATCACATAAAATATCTCACTGGTAATTGTTTATGTTGATTACAAGTTAAAACTAATATTTCGGACATACTGAGTTAAATAAAATTACTATTAAAATTAACTTTAATGTTTGGTTTTTTTACTCTTTTCAATGTGGTTACTGAAAATTTTTTAATTCTGTGTTGCACCATGTTTACAGGGCAGCACTGCCCCTCCCATCCAGTCTACACCATCTCATCCAGCTGATACCACCCCGTCCAGTCTACCCCATCCTTTCACTGCACTGCTTACTTCACACTCCCCTAAAACAGCTTGCTGATGCATGTCTACGTGGGTACTGTGTCCATCACTGTAATTCGGGTTCCAGGAAAGCAGGCAACTGGACACTTGCCCACTGCTCTCCTCCTGAGGCTGAGAACAAGCCCAGCACAGAGCAGCACTCAGGAAGATCTTTGACTGACTCGGTGACCAGTACCCCAGGCCATCCAGCCCACCGAGTCAGGGCGGGGCCAACCGGGCCATGCTGAGACCACAGAGGACAGTTCTTCCAGCAGTCCCCTCAAGCCCTCTCAACTTGTCTTTTGGAGAAGGGTGGGGTCTGAAAAAGGCAGATATGGGGGCGCACTTCTCCCCTCATCGTGAAAAACGTGAATCTAGAAAAAAGGAGTACATTGTACCCCAATCACTCTTCGCCCAATATGAACACTTTCCTTACTCCTTTTAAAAAATCAAGTCATTTCAGCCATGACATAGCCATAACAGCTTGCCCTAAATGCAGCAGCAGCAGCTCCGGAGAATGCCATCATCACGTGCCAGTGCCAAGAACAGTAGACATGTCGTAAGTAGCCTCTATGATTACTGAGAAAGACACAGCAGGAGATGGTTTGGGAAATGGAAGCACTGGTATGTCCTCCACAGATGTTCGTGTGCTTCCCTCCCTTGAGAGCGAGGGCAGGGGAAGATAACTGAAACCAAGACCATATTAAGTTGAGTTAGAGAACACGTAGGTTTTGAGGGTGAGACAGCGCAGACCACCTGTGCGTTGTCACAGAGCTTTACGTGATGGAACCAGGGTCTGAGCCCCGGCCCACCTCCACACCATCTGCCCTCCTGCTGTAGGACAGGAGTCTACATAGGAAATCCTCTCTGGTGGACTTCGGGAGGTGTCATTGTTGCACCACAATCACCAGATGTTTGCTTTATAGCAGAGAGGCCAGAGGACTTGGGGAGGTTTGCAGCAGCCCATCTATGGTGAGGAGCTGTGGCTCAGGGACGAACCCAGTGGCCTGGCCTTCCATTCTCTGACCATGCTAAGCAAGGCTTCACTCAGCAGAAAGTGGAGACACAGGGGCCACACCAGAAGCCTGGACACCTGAATTATCTCTGGATTAGACCCCGGGGCAGAGGTGTAAGGAGGTGTCTGAAGTGCCTGCCAACTTCCATGGTGTAAATACTCCTGCTGGGCCCACTGTAAGCTACCAAACTAAAGTCACTGAGCACAGAGCTGGGGACAGGAGTGCACAACAGACTTCTGAGAACCAGTGCGAGTCAGTCCCAGCACTCCGCCAGGGCTGACTCTGACAATGAAGCCCTAGTCTTTGTCTGGGCATTTCCATATTTAGACCAACATCCCTCAACAGCAGAAGGGGATTAAAGCCTAGTTCTGTGCTCTGGTGCGCACCCCAAAGCAGCGGCCTCTCCACAGAAAACTCTTTTGCTGGCTGTTTGTGTTTTGTTTTGAAACATTCATGTAACTTCAGCATCCTATGGCATAAATCTGATCCGTGTTAACATAGAATCATGTTTTAAATTACTTACCAGATTAGTACATTGCTTGGCTTTTCCCTTCTGATTCCTCAAGTAAAACAGGTTGCTCCTGGAAGTGGCATCACATCCACTCTGTGGTTTCTCATAGCTATTTGTGCTCAGCCACGCACCCCAAATTGAAGAAGCACAATTCTTGTCCACAAGTAACTTTCTTTGAGGAACTCAGCTCTGCTGGGGAGGAAAGAACAGCAGTTTGGTATGAGGGCATTATGGGTTTGAAGCTTGCCTCTACCAATGAGTGGCTATGGGGGAACTACCCACGGTCTCAGTTTGCTCATCTGTACAATGGGGTGATGGAAACCTACCTCACCCTTGGCTGTCCGGGACTTTACATGAGATGGCACATAAGAATTTCTTGCCTTCCTTCTCCTTGTTAAGTCAGTATACACCAAGCATCCAGGAAACAAAGGAGGGCTGAAACCCACTGAAAGGGCCGTGGTTAGAGTCCTCACCCGGGCCTGACTGGAGAGAGACTGACACTATCTCAGTGGAAGGCAACTTGGCAACACCTTCAAGATGGAGGGTGCACATACCCTTTCCTCATTTCTGGTATTTGTCTTCAGATGCCCTCACATGTGTGTAAAATGACAGACTGTGGCAGGGTTGGTGGGAAGAGGCAGGACAGGCCTGCGGTGAGCGTGGGTGCCTGGAGCTAGGCTGTCTGGGTTGAACTTCTAACTCTGCCACGTCCTCTGTGTGACTTCACACTCTCTATGTCCTCTGGGCCTCAGCTTCCTCATCTGTAAAATGGGACAAATAACAATGACCCCATAGGGCTGTTGTGAGGATTAAATGAGTGAAAACATGTGGCACACTTAGAGCCAAGCTTAGCAGTGCTAAACAAAAGTCAGTCATCAAGAGACTGGAAACAACCCGACTGATTGTCAGTAGGAAGACGGCTAAGTGAACGTTACATGCCCACATGGGACTCCACTTTAGCCTTTAGAAAGAACAAGATGGCACTACATCGGTGGTTCTTCATTAGGGGCAATTTTTCCCCCAGGAGATACCAGCAATGTCAGGGGACATTTTGGGTTGTCACAACTGGTGGGGGGAGGCATGCTCCTGTCATCTGGTGGGTAGAGCCCCGGGATGCTGTTCAACACCCCACATTGCACAGGACACTCTCAGAGCACAGTGATCTGGCTCAGATGTCAACTGTGCTGAGGTTGAGAAACCTGCTCTACATGAACTGTGTGAAGAAGTCTCCAAGAGACGCTGCAATTATGGGGAAAAGATAGAGGAAAAAATGCTTGGAAGAAACAAAACACAAAATACAAATACATGAGTTTGAAAAGGCATAGACAAGTTCTGGAAGGGTGATCAAGAAGCTAGTGGCAGTGAGTGTCTCTGAAGAAGGACACTAGGTCCCTTGGCATGGTAGAAGAAACCCAAAACTCTTTTCCTCTCTACACCTTGGCCTTCCATATCACATGTACAGAATTACCTCTTCAAAACATCAGCACCACAAATGAAATAAAGAAGCTAGATTCATCACCACAGGCAGGCTGTACACCTAGCCTGTCTCCCAAGTCCCAGACCACAGAGTGGGAAAGAGCTTTGAAAAGCATGAAGCTCATTTCTTGGTCCTAAGGTAGGGATGGCTCAAACCTGGATGGAAATAAGCTTCAAAGAGTTACTGGACAGTAGCCATGCCTCCCATCAGGGGCAGGCAACGAGGGTCCCCCTCAACTCCACACCCCTCTGGCCTGGCCCTGAGTTGGGGGCAGGTCCTGACACACCTGAAAGCCAGCTGTTTACTGCATGGACAGTATCCCTGTTTCCTTCCAGCCAGAGCTGGCCTCTGCTGAATCACCTGTCAAATATCTTAAGACTACTGTCCCCTGAGCCTGCCAGCCCCAGAGGCTGAGGATGTATGGGGACACTTTCTCTAAAGACCTAAGTCCAGTTGTACCAGAAAACACAGATGCTGCATGTTAGGGTAGGCCCTGCCATTTCTCTTTGCACAAGGACAGGCTTTATCAATGTAGGACAGAGCTTGGAATGTGCCTGTCATGGGGAAGTGCAGCTGTCAGGACTGCCTGTCCTAAGATACTGAAAGCACTGGTCACTCACCTGCTCCCCTCTCCATGACACTGATTTCTTTTATTCCTGGAAGCCCTGCAGGAGCCCGCAAGCTCTCAGAGCTGTAGCTCTTAGCCCTGTCTGTATACTAGAATCTCTTTAATAAATACTGATGGTGTGCCCATCCCAGGCCAATTAAATCAGAATCTCTGGGGACTGAATCTGGGCCTTAAAAAAAAAAAAAAACCACCTTTCCAAGGTGATGTTAATGGGAGGCCAGGGTTTAGAATCCCTGCCCAACCCGAGCCTTGTTGGCGAGGATGGAGTGCTAAACCCTCTAGGCTGAAGCCCAGACCCAATGTTGGAGCAGAAGAGTCTTTAATGAGATCAAGGGATGCCACTGAGTCACTGAGGGTGGCCATTGCTGGCTTGGAGCTGACTGAAGTACCCATGGGAAGCCTGGTGTTGACTCTGAAAACAGCAGCTGCTGTCACCCCATAATCCCTTCACCCTGCTTTACTTTTCAAATGCTTATTACCATCTGTGATGAATTTAATTGTGGGCTCCCTCTCAGCTCCCTACTAAATGTGCAGTCCAGTAGAAACCTCGTCTGTCTTGTTGGTTGACTAGCATGGTACCTAGCCCCTGGCAGACACTTGACTCTGAGTGAGTGGCTCTGACAGCCCACCTGGGCTTCAGGCCAAGACACTGTGCTTTCCTCTTATCTCGGGAACATCACTCTTTAACACGGCTCCTCCAGTGCCCTCGGCCTTCTCCCTATCCTGTCTTGGGAATGTCCAGAATATCCTTGTTATGGTCCTGTATACCACTGATTATTAACTAAGATGATTCTGCCCTCCAGGAGACACCTGGCAGCATCTGGAGACATTTTTGCTTTCACAATCGGGTCAAGGGGTGTGCTATTGGCACCTGGTGGATAGAGGCCAGAGATAATGATAAACATCCTATGACACAGAGGACAGTCTACCCCACCCCAGAAAAATTATCTGGCCCAAAGTGTCCATAGCGAAGAGGCTGAGAATAGGACACAGACACACCTCCAGCCCCCAGGGTTATGGGAAGATACAGCTCCTCAGCCTCTGCCACTTTCCAGCTCCAGTCTTCCTCACCACAAGCTCCCTAGGGGCATCTCCACCTAGGAAGACCCTCTGCTCTGGGTCTCCCAGAACTCTGACTAGAAAGTTCTGAATCTAAGCCCCTACCTAGAGTTTTACTTTACCTCTTGACCCGAAATGTTTACTCTGGGGCTCTACTTTTTGCTTTTCTTCCTGTGGATTTTATTTTTTGGATTTGGAATCTTTGTGGTTATTATATTAATAATAAAACAATTATACTTTGCATTTTGCTTACTGGTGTCACGTACTGTTCTACATAATGCTCACCATAAGCCCGGGATTGGTACTATTATTTTCCCCATCTTGCAGGTGAAACCGAGGGGCGGCAGATTTAGGTGACCTCTCCCCAATTCACACAACTAGTGAGTGATGGAACCTGGAGTCCCAGAGTCCACGCTCTTCTCCAAGCTTCCCTAGTCACCTTGCCACAGGTTCCACAGGCCAGGGCAGGCTCTGCCCTCCCTTCAAATGTATACTAAGGCAGAAACAACTGGTGCAGCTCACCTACTGGGGACACCACTGCTCAACTGGGAGAAACCAGACCCTCAGCATCAAGGACAAAAGCCCAGTCTCAAACTCCGAGATGAAAACCCCTTCAGCATTCACCACTGCACCCCTACCGCGGGACGGGGTCAAAGAACAACCACCAGCAGCACGACAACAAACACCCGGCACATACACAGTACTTGGTAAATGCTAAGCTCTACGCCGGGTGTTTCACCTGTTACCCCACTGGATTTTCCCTCCACCCAGGCAGGCGGTTTCATCATCCGTCTTAACCCACAAGGGGAGCCTTGCACAACACAACACCGCCTTTCCCAGGGCCCATCGCACCTGTGCAGCCGCTCAGAATGCTCCCCACCAGACCTCCTTCCACAGTCACAGGCAGATATAGACTAGGACAACACAATCACGCAACTGCAAAACCACGGACACTTCCAGTGTCGCACTCAGCCGCCCTAGACTAATAAATGACCACATCGGTCTTGTCACACACACAAATGCGCTCCGACCACACACATCCTCGAGGTGCACTTATACCCATTCCCAGACCCCTAGAGGCGCCGTCATTTCTTTCTCACATCAACACCACAGAGCACACAGTAAAATACACGATCCTGAGACACGCCCCCGTCACCATACGTCTGACTCCGTTACGAAGACACACACAGAGCCGCCCACACACACCCCTTCTCACACCACATCCAGCGCCACCACACATTTCAAACATACGGTCATGGCTCTACACCTCACACTCCGTCCGACACGACTAGACACGCAATCCCACGCAGCCTTGGGCCCTCGACTCCCGCGGCCTCACGACCTCCCGCAGCCTCACAGCCACGCAGCTGCCGGAACATATACACAGGTCTACGTCCACATTTCCGTCCTCGCGGGTCGCGTACTGGCAGCGCCCATTATGACAGCTGTGCCCGCAGCCCAAGCTCCCAGCGCCTACGTCCGCCCCTCCGGGATCCCAGGGGGGACCATGGTCAGCGCTCATCACACGTGGGACTCGTAGGCGGGCCATGGCACCGCCCCCGGGACCGCCCCCAGAGCGAGGCCCCGCCCCCAAACAAAACCACGCGGCGGGAGCTCGTTAACAACCACAAGTCCAGGGACGTCCCACAAGCACTGGCCTGAGGCCCCGCCCCTCTGCACGCAACGGCGTACGCCAGTAGTCTCGGGCAATCAGAGCCGTCCTTGGGAGCATCACCGCCCGCGTGCCAGGCCTAGGTCCTGCCCCGCGCCAATCCACGTAGCACGCACGGTCGCGTGTGGGGCCAGCTCAGTTTGCGCTCTTGGAGGCCCCATGCCTCGTTCCCCTTGTGCAATCACGCGACGGTACTCAGGCGCTGCTGCCCGTCCTTGATCTATTCAACCAAACCCACCCTCCGCAGTTAGCCGCTCTCCTCGGCTTCCATGCCTGCGCGTTCCCGTTCGGGGGCTTCTGGCCGCAGCACTCTCCCCCGTGCGCCGGGATTCTCCGAGATTTAGAGCCAGAGTCACTGGCGGACGCTGAAGCGCACATTCGCGCGTGCGCACTGCGAGTTCAGTGCGCAACTCCCAGAAGCCTCCGGGGCGCAGCGCGGCTCGGAGTGGCCACGCCCAGGCGTGAGGGGCCGAGAACTTGGGTCGTGCTGCCTCCGATCTGTCTTTCCCGGAGACGAACTGATTCGGGAGTCAGGCGGAGGAATGTTCCTCCAGGCCAGGAGAGGAATCTCACTTGCGCCTTTGTTGGCCGAGAAGCCCCAGAGTCTTCTGCGCGGCCCCTTTCTAGCTCCGAGACTCCATTTTCCGGGAGACCCTGCGGCCCGTTTCCGTGATTCCGCGGCTGCGCGTCCTCTGAAAGTGCACGAGCGAGCGGCGCCGGTGCGCGCTGTGCTGCCGCGTGCTGTGCTGCCGCGTGCAGTGACCGCTGTGTGATCGTGAGTCTCTGAGAGGGGACCCAGCTTTTGTGATTTTGTACGTGTGTGTGTGTAGCACTGATTTAGAATATATATGTGTATGTTCAGTAGCCTCTATGGCTGCTTTTGAAAGCATAGAAAGTCTATGGCCCAAAGAGCCTAAAATCCTGATTGATCCGTTTTTGTAGTTGTGTAGTGCGTGTGTAGGGGG